ATCCATCCATCCATCCATCCATCCATCCATCCATCCATCCATCCATCGATCCAAATACCCATATCCAATATGTCCTTACGGCACAGTTACTGCCCCAAAAGTGCATGCTGCCTTCGCCTGGCAGGTTGTCCGTGGGCTCTCCGAAGCAAACCTTCTCGGTGCTCTTTGACACGGCCTCGGGGCATGTGGCCTGGACGGTCGACCTCCGAGACCTACATAGCCCAGACGCGACTAATGGAACTGGAAAATATGCCGATCAGTTGGGGTGATTTCAAGGGCCAATGTAGGCATATCTTCCAGTCCCATGGAGTGTCTGGGTATGGGTGTGTATTTTAATGGGGAGACACCCTGGGAGACACCCTGGTCTATTTCCCGAACCTTCCAGAGGGTCGTTGCCTGGGGCTCTCGCTCTCCCCAGTCTATAGTGCACACCACTATATGGGCCTTCAAAAGACATCTGATTAACCCAGTCTTAAGCCCCGCAAGGTGCGCGCCAAAGATTCCATTTTGGCATGGTTTTGTGGATGGTGGATGATGGTGGACCCTTCTGGTTCGGAACCTTTGGGGTGAAGGATCCGCTTGGACCAGAGGGTGGGTGTTTCGACCACCTGGCGGCTTCGACCACGCCGAAGGCCCCGAGGTCGACGTGGCGAGGGAGCCGCGGTTTTGGAGTGGTTCGAAGGTTGCTGTGAATCTTGTGTTGCAAGGACGCTACGAACGTAGTTCCTCGCCATACTACTAGGAGCAAGAAACTACTAGGAACAAAGGGCATCGCTACGAACGGAGGAAGGATGCTACTAGCAGTCTAGTAGCGATGGCCTCCAACCTAATAAAATAGCGGTGGCCTCCCCCTAGTAGCGTCCTTGCTACTCGTAGTTCAAAGACATACTAAAAAGAGGATGCATACTCAATGACTATAATTGTTGGCAAATGCCACAGGCTTAGTATGAGCAGCACAGCTGTTGTGAAAAGACACGAACCATTTGTGACACCCAGGATTTGTGTGTGTATGTTTTCAGTTCTAATTTCAGACCTGGTATTATGGAGCTTCACCTCTAATTTGTTTGAACCATTCATCAGTATCCTGTGAGGATAGTTGAGGACTTGGTCAGCATTGAATGGAGGGGTTTTGACGATTCTCCAACAGCTTAGTCCTACGAGGGCACACCGTGTACACCCCTTAGAAACAGGAAACATGCTCAGGCGGGGGGGGCTCTTTTTAAAAAGGCTTTCAGCTTGAGCACGTCAACAGCGCCCAGACGTTGTGCAGCTCCAAGGTACTTTTGCCTCACAGTTCCTGCATGAGCAAGGCCTGTCAGAAGCACAAGCAGCCCCTGGGTCTTGCCTTGGCATTTTTGCTGTGCAGTATAGTATTAATTTCAGTAACAGTATTGATTGCTGGCAAGTTCCAAGTCTAAGTGGTGACACCGTCTTCTTGTTGATGCTCCTACATCGCCTCCCGAACGAATCGGCAGAGGACAATGGGTTTTCGTGCGTGACGTCCTGTGGTGTCTGTTTGGTTTGGTTGCTGGTGCGTTTGAAACTACAGAAGCCCGTGTTAGATGGATTTGTAGCTGCAACACAAAAACATCCGTGAACTCTAAGACTTGTTCTTTTTCCGCGAATGGCGTGAAAAACATGAGCCTTCCAGAGGGAATAGACAAGCAGACAATGCTCCGACTCCGACTGCAAGCATTGGGCTGAAAACAAGGAGCCGCACTTACCAGTACTTGTGTCACTGAGTTATATAAATGAAGACTTCACGAAGAGAATCTGGACCACCCGCCAGTGAAACAGGCAAGAAAGATATTGCTGCAACGATCTCCAAACCTGAAGAGGGCTTCCTTCATCCCACTTCCAAAAAAGGATCTCCTTCACCCACCTCCAAACGGCCGTTCCCTCTATTGGCCTGGCCTCCCCGCACGGCATTTCGGGGTGGCACTGCTATTCGGTTCACCGGACCGCCGCATGGGACCGGTAGAGGTTCTTCCCCTATAAGTCCAAGACCTCCTTGGACGTGAACTCCAACGGCCTCCCTGTGACCTGGCGGGTGGAAAGGCAGAGAGGACGGAGGGACTGCTGGGACTGCTGAGGACGATGAAGGACCTTCTTCGTGGTCAGTCCTTGTTGTTGGATAGCTTGCTTTGTCCAAGATCCGGCTGTTTGGGCCGGAAGGGTCAAATAGACGGCACCCTCAAGCCTCAGAAAGTGGATATTTATATTAGAATAGCAATGGCCTCCAACATTATTAGAGTGGCAACTTTAATTTAGGTTCACACCATGGTTTGAGAGAGGTCAAAAGCTCTCCGGACCTCGTTCGCAAGAAGCCGTGGGAGCATTCCAGCCAGAACGACCGGACAGCAACTGGATACAGTGTGTATTGAAATAGGGAGACCCGAAGACAAAGACTGGCAGACCGCAAAGAGAGGACCCCAAACAAGCCAGGGCTGGCCGGGGGTTCTCTCCATCGTTCAAGATCCACTTTTGTCTGAGACAGAAGATGGGGTTCTTGTTTGGCCATGGCCTCATCGGAGTCCAGACCCGTTGATGCGTCCAGGTGCAGCCAGAGCACAAGCTGGCCTTGGGCAAGGTGAAGCGGGACGCCGTGAGCCTCGACTTCGCGCAGGCCCACGAGATGGAAGATCGAGGGTTGTTTTTCAGAGAATCCCATCAAATCCCTCAAGTTTGGGTCTTGACCTGGAGGATCTTGGAGCTTTTTTGGAGGTTTTGGGGGGCTTCTGAAAAGACCTGGTCGACTTCCAGGTGCAGAATCTGACTGTACAAAAGCTCAGATGCTTTGGGAAGACTGTTTGGATGGCGATTTCGTGACCCAAAGCACCATGTACAATGTACATGAAACAGCTAAGTTCTGCCTTGAACCAACGACCTCACAACTCACCACTTCGGACCTCTCCCGACCTTGGAGCTCGGACCCTGCTCGCTTGAACAGGCGGACCTGGGTGAAGGCTCCGCCAAGGCTGTCCTGGTGAAGGCGGAATTGGGCGGTCCACTGGTCCGAGCTAAGCCCAGCTCGGGGCAGCTGGTTGGATTGGTAGGGAGCTTGACTGGGTTCCAGTCAAGCACTGGAATGTGGAAGATTCTCCACAGCCCAATCCTTTGAGTAACAACTAACACATCCACTGGCCCCTGGATTTTGGACCAAACCCCAACTCCCCCAAAGCACATCCAACGACGCAACTTGGCGATGCCAAACTGTCATGTGGCCGGGGCCTGCCGGAGGTCAACGATGACCAGGGTTTGGAGTTCCGGGCTTTTGGACCCACAACCCAACTTGAATCCAAGAGAACTGGAAGAACTGGTCCACATCTGTCTCCGACGCGCCAGGACCGAGTCTGCATCGGCAGTGAAGTCGCACCCCTCTGCACCGAGGTCGATGCCGCTTGGGAGCAGCCAGCAAGGATCGACCTCCAGATCAATTGAAACATCTCAAATGAAACATGATGCTTTCGAGACGTTTCGAGGCATCAACTTGAGGTCATCAGTTGGCTTTACTCGCCCCCAGAAATGAGTTTGGAGTTTGGTCAGCAAGTCCACCTTCGAGAAGCAGGCCCTGCAGGCCTGCACGCTGCAAATAGATTCAGTGCTGATCATTGGATCCTTTTACTCACCCAAAGATCGCAAAGATGAAATAGCACCACTGATTTTGAAGGTTCCTGGTGTTTGGATAGAATCTATATGTCTCAGAATTCAGGGGAATTGTTGGTCTTATTAAAGGGAAATGTTTCATCTTATGGTGTGCTGAAAGGCACCTTTGATTATATGTGATTTATTATATCTACTTTGCCATTCTTAAGAGGGCAACTTGCTGTGCCCACACCTACCCACTCAATGGATCATCTACTCATCTCTTTAGGTGAGTGGCTCTCCTAGGTAGGAAACCCAGTTGAACCAGTTCCCAAACACGGCCTTCTCCACCGCTCCAAACGCTCGACCGCCCCCGCGACCTCGACCGCCCCCGGCGACCGAGGTCATGGCCGCGGTGGAGATGCAGCACCGTCTCTTCGAGGAGATGCCCTACGACGGCCTCGTGGGCCTGGGCATGGGAGGCGGATGGGGACCGGGGGGGGAGGTGATGGGATGAGGAAGGAGATGGAATGGATTGAATGTGTTGAGTCATTAAGTTGTACTGTATAGTGTTTACTAACTTGGTTCCATTTTTTGTTATTTTTGCCGCAACTTGCGACGCTGCGAAGGGTTCTTCTCAAAGAAATGCTGTGAACTCCATCTACCTTTCCGTCCTCCTTACACACATTGTCAATATCAGCAAGTGATCATCATCATCATCATCATCATCATCATCATCATCATCGTCATCGTCATCGTCATCGTCATCGTCATTTTCTTCTTCTAGGTCCCTAGCTGCAGAGATACAGGTATGTATCAGCCGGCACCACAGCAGACTATGCCGGAACAGCCTCTTAGCAGTCCGAGAGTCAGGAAACCTGGGCCTGGCATTCAATTTCAATTCCGAATGAGCTTGTGCGCTTGGAAGAAGCCCACCCCCAGCTCCACCCCCCCCTGACACGGCTAAAGCATGCTAAAGCAACAAACCGCAGCAGATCGACGACACATGCTCAGAGGTGGTCTTTGGACCATTGACCTTTGTTCTTTACAATGTACTTCAATGGGGTGATTTGTTTGCAGACATTCTTAACTAGGTTTCGGATATTTATATTTTCATCCCTTACTTGGGGATGATTGGACCCTTTGACTATTATTTTTCAAGTGGGCTGAAAACACCAACCAGTTAACCAGATCCACCTGGCTTCCATGACGGGGACAGCCTTCCCCAAACTTGCGGGCGATGAGGCACAGGCTCACAGGCCTGGAATTGGCATGAAAGGCACCTGGCCTGCATGAGTAACCATGCTCATGCTTGGTCTCCATTCCATCCACACGCTAAACCAATGGCGCGAAGCCATTGCCACATAAAGAAGACCAGATTTCGCAGCAGATTTTGTCCATGATGTCCTAGCCGCCACATGGCATGCCCGCCTGACGCCCACAACTTCTAGTGTTCCATCCGACCCTTTCACCGACCGTGAGTTCGAAGAGTGACCTCCATAAACCGACGCCCGAGATTTCGAGAAACTGAGTGCCTTCCACACACATTCACCATAACTAATTACATCACATCACGATATATAACGATATCTTCCAGCATTTTTTCGATCAATGGATGTCTTAAAATTTATTTACATGTTGTTTTGTTTTTTCAAGGTCTGCTTTGTGTTTGCGCCACCTTGAGTTTAGTTTTACCATGCGTTGCATTTTTCAGCCACACAACATCATAAAGCTTAAAGCAAACAACCATTTTGCATGGCATTGAAAGAGACAAACCATCCAGAACTTGGCTACCTCATGAGCACTTCAGCAGCACGGAACGAAAGGATCTTTTAGGAACGGCTAGCCGTTCTTCTTATCTCGCGTCCGTCCGTCAGGCCTCTCTGCAGAAGCCGGTTCCGACTTCTTCTCGCGCTTGGTGGCCAGCAATCCAACTCTGGTGCCTCAACTGGGGATGTCCCTGGGCGCGCAGAGTGGCGAGCTCTATGTGGGACACCAGGAGGCCGCTGGGGCAGCGCGACAACACGGCGCTTCCCACGATGGGGAGACTTGTTGCGGGGAGACAACACGGTCGCTGTGGTCGCCCCGAAGCAGATTGTGCAAGGTGGTCGCCCCGAAGCAGATTGTGCAAGAAAGGAAAAGTACTGGAGGGTGGTAGATTTTTTGAGGCATCCATTATGCAATATTAAGCAACATCGAATCAAACAATGGTCAAGACGCCTGGCACGTCCTCGAATCAAGTGGTTTATATTAACATACATGCGCAGTGTATATTCGGTCCAGTGAATCAGAATCATGATTAAAGTGAACATTTCAGATTGTTACACACATTGACATATAATCGACGTCAACATGACATCCGAACAATACAACATGCCCGCACTTCCAAAAACCGAAGCTGAAGATGTTGGCAAACACCAGCTACCAAAAGAAAACAACTATAGCAAACGCATATGGCAGGTTTCTTCTGTGCTACTTCCCTTTTTCTTATCCCGTCCAGGCCTCCCGGATGTCCAAGGAGCTCACGTGGTTTCCCGTGCTGCATCCCGAGGCCGATCGCGAAGAAAGGATCAGATGAAGTGATTTACAATGTTTACAGTAAAGAACAAAAGGGATGAGTGTGTTCTTTTTTCTCTCTATATATATATATACAAATTAATACACATATATATATATATATTTTTGTTGGGAGTGCAACATCCGCAATCAATGTTAACAAGAGTTCCCAAAAAGGTGTCAAACAGATTTAACATAATTTAGATAGTTTTTGATAACAGCGACTGACTGGATGAGACTAAACACAACTCCTTTGTGACTTCTGGGTTGTAAAGCTTTTCTTATTTTTTAGTAAACGGATTTTTGACATCTTGCGACAACGTGTTGGGTAAAAAGTTTGAATCCGTTCACATCAACATCTCACCAGCATCACGCCTCCCAACATCCCACCACATCACGTGCCTGAAGACCCTGACTTGTGACTGGGCAGGATGGCTTTTGGGAAGTGGCTGTGAAGCAGATCCGCCTGGGCAACCGAACACTGGACAGTTGCCAAAGCGGCTGCCGTGGAGTCATCGACACCGGTGCCTCCAGGAGTGGGGGACTTTTGGGGGTTGAAACATGGAGTCGTTGCCAGGACCCCCAGGAGTTGGGTGGTTCATGGATTCATGGACACCCCGAATCACATGCTTTTTGGGTGCTATTTACATAGACACCCCGAACGAGTCGGGTTCTGGTATCAGAAAATATGGTGTGATTCTTGGAAAGAGATCGTTCTATCCGCAGTGCTTCACTTCTGGCTCCACCTCGACTCCATCGCAGGTTGGGCGTCCAGAAGGACAGCTTCGAAGTCCTTCGCAGCGCCTTAGCCACTGCAACTCCGCTCGTGGGCGGCGGTTGCCAGGGCGAGGACCTCCTCTTCGACCTCGGTGCGAGAAACGAGGGCGCGACCGACGCGCGAAAGACACGGGACATGAGAAAGGCAACGAGACAATTCGAAGGATGCACCGAGAGTTTCTGTATAATTCAATGAGTTATATAGGGATATCATGGGATATCGGTCAATGCATTATGTCAAGAAGCTGATCATGGATTTCATGGGTTTGGGATGGTTTGGGTGTTTTGAATTTTCAGGAGTCGGAGTCAACTATAACTATATATATATATTATATACCAGGACCTTCCAAGAGGTGTCTCTACATAGCCCTGTTCGTTTCGGTCCTGCAAATGGCCTCTGTTTTCCCGGGCAGAAGAGTCTGGCGAGTCTTCCACACCGATGGCTGCAAGCTCCGTGTGAGACGACCCTGAAGCTGGCCAGGTGAGATGACCCTGAAGCTTCGTGTGGAGGCGGGCCTCGCCGTTGGCAGCATTTTTGGAGTCGGTCCATCCATTCGGTCTGCTTGTTGTTTTAGGGAGGAGGATGTGGGGAAGATGTTCCTGGTTCTTCAAAGTGACCGTACTTGATAACCTGGTTGGTTCGGTCACTTAAGCCTCCTAAGGGTCACTTAGGAACCTTCAAAAGGTCACTTTGAAGGAGCTGGTTGCTTGTTTTTTATCATTCTTCTCAGAATTCGTCCTTCTTTGATCCTTGTCCTTGCCCCTTGTTTTCAGCGTTTGTGCTTTTGTCCAGTTTCCGCCGAGCACGTTCCAGGGATACCGCAACACTCACAGACCATCCATGGGACTGGAATCTCTCCCCTCCAACCACCCCAGTCCCGTCCCAGGGATGGTCTACTCTCATGTGTTTCCCTCACCGCTCAGGACTACGCGGCAGGGCCCAGCTGCGCTCCGCAGCTGGGCTCCTTGGATCTGGATCCCAAGGAGGGCTTCGCCGGCGTCTACGCCTTTGGCGAGGCGAGAGAGAGAGAGCAAAGCGGCGGAAGAGAGAGAGGGCAGAGTTTGTAAAATGATATCAGGATCAGGAGTGTCAAAAAAAAGCCAGTGCGTACCGCCGCGGTACCTACTAACTTTACCAGTGTGGGTAGTTGTCCGGACAATCAGCTCAAGAAATCCACCCCGTGCCCCAAGCACCGCGTCGTCCAGGCCATGCTTCGGCAGTACTACACGGCGCTCGACTGGACCCAGCGCCGCATTGGTTTCGCCCCCGCAGCGCCCCGCCGCGTGCCGCTGTCGCGCGCGAGGGACACGGCGCAGATCTTCGCCTAGGTGGGCGCGGCAGATGCGTGGGGCTGGAGGTGTGGAACGGGTGTGAAGCAAGCAGCTTGGACATGCTTGGACATGTACATGCCAGGTTCCATGCCAGTTCTACAAGGGGTACGGTGGAATGCAATAGTGGGATTGACAAACAATTGGGACATATATTATTAGTGGAAGCATTGTGTAGGGGAAAGAGTGGTTAAGTGGTTCGGAACTTTGAGGATAGGGTTGCCCATCGCACCTGGGCTGATCCTCCACATTCTTGAATACGGAACTTTTGGGGTTCCACTTTTTCCAGAACACATGCATGTCCAGCTTCTTCAAAGTGACCTCTTTCGAGTCCCCAGTCGTGACCTGTTGCAGGCCTAAGTGACCTCAAACCAGGATGTCAAAAGGTCACTTTGAAGAACCAGGGTGTTTTATTATTTCCCATGTTGCAAAATTACTGTTAGTTCTTCATTGGGGCGTGCTTGGATCTAGAAGCTAGTCTGAGTTCAGTGGAATAGGGAATGCAACAAAACAGAAAACGAGTTCCCTCAGTCAGTCTAGGAAATCCACCTTGGGAAAACACAAGGCTACATCTAAGAATCTACTACTTGTACCCAGCAATTCCAGGAGTCGTCCATGAACAGGGGATGCTCCGGGGATGGCATGTTATTCACTATAGCAGGTAAAGAGTTTGTGTTGTTTTCGACTTTGGCGGACGTTGTGACAATCCATCAGTTCTGATACCCGGGTTTGTATTTGAATAGGGACACCGCCCACCACTCCGCCCACCAATCTGTTCCGACCCTACTGTTCTCCTTCGCTTCCACCGGAGCCGGTCCGACCGGGCGTCTCCCCTTCCGACCGTCTCGCGGTCGAGGCGAGGAGGATCACCCGCACCCGGTCGGAACGTTCACAAGCAACGGCAGCGAGAAAAAGCTGAGGGCTTGCAGAGTGGAAGGTGCTTGGCGGCGGGGGGGAGGCGATCTGGATCCATTTGGATGTTGACTCAGGACCCTCCAAGCGCACTCAGGTCCTTCATGGACATCCCTTAACCTTCGGAAATCAACACCTTTTGGGTCACTGAAGAATCCATGGGTGTGGGACCCAAACAACAAATTGCCCAAACCACCCAAAGCCTCCAAGGGCGACATGCCATCCTTTCCGGTGGTGGGTTTCAGGCTGGCGGAGGAGCCCTGCGGTCCAAGCCGGTGGCCTCATGGAAGACCTCCTGGGAAGGCAAGGGGTCATCATCGCAGGGTGCGGGGTGTTGTGATAACATCCAAGAGAGGTTGAACAGCCCTTTGTCGCCCATCCCATATGTACCACTACAGGGTCCTAGTTCTGGTCTCTCAACCTCTCTTGGATCCGTTGAGAATTATCACGATTCAAAGCAAGAGGTCGGGCTCTTTTGTCGCGCGATGAAGAAACAGTGAGACACTTGACAAAGCAAAGCCTCCGAGGACCACGGCGCGGGAGGTTGAAAGCTTGATGTGTTGCTTCAACTGTAAGGCCAATCATTTTGTGCGAGCCTGGTGAAGGATTTTGTTTAATTAGGATTTGGTGGTCGGTCGAATTCCTCAGAACTTCCCACCTCAGGCAACTTCCTGCAATATTCAATCCAGTTTTGGGTTCTCTCCGTTCCTGGTGAACCTTGGCATGTGAGCTGAATGGTGAGCTGAAATGAGCTGAGTATGTTGTGTCCGAAAACTGGCTCTCAGTCTTGGTGTCCGAGTTGAGAACTATTGGATCTCGGTGGTCGCCGTATCATTAAAAAAGATGCCACGATGTTCGTCACTTACCACGAGGAGAGAATTGTGGGAGTGAAGGAATTCCACGTGGCAGTGGCATTAATGGAAGGCCAAGTGGAACTTTTGAGCCAAAGGGTGCAGTCTCAGTGGGAACATGTGTATTTGTTCGACCTTTGTGTGTGGTTTGGCCACTATGATACCGCCTGGGCTTTGGCTGAGAAAGGAGTCAAAGGTTGCAAACTAGAAGAGTATCACCTCCACAGACGTTGTCATGCAGAGGACAGGTTCACCATTGGCTGCAGCAATTGCGAAGAGTTCTATGGACAATCTGAGCAGACTGAATCCGGGGATTCTGATTCTGACGAAGACATGTGCGACTCTGAGGGTGATGCACCATGGCAGGCCTGTCAAGGCTGCTGCTTTGGCTTCCCAGATCACCAGGGAATTTGGATGGAAGACTGGAACACGCATTTGCAGGATGCCAAGTTTGCTGCCTGGATGGCAGCGGAGCAGCCCTTGGTCCGAACCATTCTGGAGGCGCTCCGTTCTGGTGAAAGGCTTCCCTTTTCCATCTCTGAGAAGGCCATGGCCAACCTCCTGGACATCGCGATCCTCAAGGGCGACCCAGAGTTGGCGAAGCACTGTGCAGAGGGAACCGAGCTTCGCCCCCTGCGGTGCTGGAGCTTGAGTGGTATGTTTGCTTGTGATGCTGGAGAGCCACGCTGTTTGAACAGGGGCCACTTGGTCTCCCTGCCAACCCAACGCTTCCACTTGGAGCTCAAAGATCCAGTTCTGCTGAAGACGGCACTGATGGCTGGTGTCAGACTCGATGGCCTCACTGTCAGGGCCGTGGATTCTGAGTTGCTCCATCAAAGTCGCTGGCAATCGTACACAACCGAAGCTGAGCTCCGGAGCAAGAGAACTTTCTTTGGTGAAGGAATCCCTCTTCGAGAGGCCCTCATTGTGTCTACACCTGGGTGGGCTGAATTTGTGAGCCTTCTCCCAGAGCCTGAGAGCATCCGGGCGGTGCAGGACGATAACAACCATGGCAATTTCTTCCTTTGGCAAACTGAGTCAGAAAGTCATGCGTTTACTTTGCAGGAAGAGCAGCTGCAACGTGCACAGTCGGCAGGACTTCCTTTGCAAGAGGTGCGGGTGTGTGCGTTTACGTATGATTTTCGCTTCCTGGGCCTTTCACATCTCACACTGTTGGACGCCGCAATTCTGCTGCAGGATTCAGACTGTGCAGCCTTGTGTGCTGCTGCAGGTGTCAAGCTGTCAGACATAGGCTGTCAAACATTGAAGTGCGAACTGGATGCAGACGACCATCCTGCAAAGTGGTTCGCCGCCACTGCCGCAGCCTATGCAGCGTTGAGGCTCGCTTGGAGGTCTGAAATCTCTGCCAAGGGAGTGGCCATCTACCAGACCACCAGGAGGCTTTCGCATGGACGATCCTTCCCTGCGTTGTTGGTGGGTGAGGTAATTGCCTTCGCATTAGAGATGCCAGAGATGGTCAAGAGATTGGATCTATGGGAAGAGGCCAACACGTGGTTCCAGGTTGGTGGGTGGCGCAAAGCTTGGCCAATGTTGGGGGCAGCCTTCTTTGTCATGAAGTATGACTATTGGAATGCTCTTCCCATGATTTTGAAGGATTTTGAAATTTGGAGCACTTCGCAAGCTTCTGCATGAGGATGTGCAGGCCTCGGCAACCATTTAGGCAGCCATCGAAAAGAAGGAGGCCTTGCCATGCTATAGTTGTCCTTTGGTCCTGGTCCAATTGAAGCCGCACTTACGAATTATGCATTTTACCGTATCGATCAAAAAATACAATGCATATGTTGATTCACTCATTCATTTGAATCATGGCCTGCATTTGCTCATAAAACATCATACAACACCATGGAGTATAGTTCCTTCCTTTGGTTTAGGATTCGAAACCTACACTCCCTGGAATAATCATAGAAGTGGAGTTCACCACCACCAGTTTTGGTCGGAATTCCTGCTCATCCACTCCGTGCCTTGGGGGCAACATGCCATGCTCACTGCCACCATTGATGGCACTCAGGGAGTGTTCTGAAACGAAGAACCGGATGCAGCCCAGACCGGACCCACCGCCCGTGAACCATCCGTGCGCAGGCTGGCCTGCTCCAATGGACTGGTCGGGGGGGGGTCTGGGGAGATCGGCTAGAAGACATGGCCAGGAACGTGTTTCAATCAAGTCATAAGTCAGTCTTTCTTGTTCTGGTGCGGTGCCTGGCCACCAAAGATTATAAGATTCTGAATCGTTTGACCCCTGACGCAGGAGCACGCTAAGGTGTTTTGTCTCACTTGGCATCACCAAGTGTTCCAGAACGCTGTCCTCCCATCACCTCCCTTCCTTCGCATGTCAAAGCGAGGACCTCTCTTCAGCACGGAAACTGGCTTCGTCGCTGGGCGCCACCTCTAGTGCTCGAAGAGCTTCCGGCAGGGTGTTGCAGGCAGGTGCGGGGAGTGCCCAAGCGGCGCGGGGTGGATCCCGTGTGTTGGATCCAGTGCAGGACCGTGTGTTCGAATGATACCTGAACCATCCAGAAGATGATTGGATGGTCAATTGTCTCGCCTTGCATATAATCACATGGTGTTTTGCAGAAGAGCCGTCTAAGAGCTTCTTTTCAGGGTGTTTGAGAAGGCCTTTTGGGGCCATGCCGCTGCATTCATGCACCTTGGGTGTTAAAAGCTGGCTTCAGCCTCACTCGTCATAATGGAGAATGACTATACTTGCACCTCTGAACGACAAGACGCTTGTTCATTACGTAGTCGATTCATTTTGGCGCAACATGGTGCAACATCATACCTACTCGTACTGTCACACAGCATCAAGCCAGGGGGACTTCCCCACCCTGAAATAGTTCAGCAATTTGTTGACATGGTTTGTGCTTTAATTTAGCTTTCACTCAAGATCATCATCCACGTGCATCCTGGGTAGGGGCAGGTTCCAGCATCAAAGACACCATATTCCCACTTCCTCCAGTTTCTTTCAGACCAGTCCACATTCCAATCATTGTCCCTGTTTCTTCCCTCCACACGCGACCAAAGTCCCCGTCGACCACAGGCCGCCGCGCGCGCGCTGGTCGAGGCACAGGAACATCTGGGAGCCGCACAGCTGCTCCTGGAGCTCCGGGATTTCGGCGTCGAGCGCGAGGCCGGGCGAGACGTCACCGAGAGGGTCAGGGCGGGAGGGAGGAGACCGGGGTGCTCCGCCACAGGACGAACAGCGCCACAGGACGAGCGGCGTTTTGTTTTGGGGGGGTGATCGGTAGTCGATGCTGGGGTACCAGCGGAGAAGTCTTGACTGTTGCTCGAAGAGACATTTGGCAACATTTTAGTTACAGTTTCACTTCAGCTCACCATCTTCACACCTACCTCGCCCCAAAGAGCATAATATAGATTAATATAGAATATATCCCAAAACTTAAATTCTTTTCGGGTCACCTCGCTCCGCAGGTGCTGGACCGGCGCCTCACCCCTTCAGAGGCGGAGCAGCTCTTCGACGAGGCGGCCGTGCGTTTGGGCGCCTCGGCAGAGGGTCGGCAGAACGAGCGAACGAGGGTCGTCCACCGAGTAGGTCTTCCAGTCGGTCTTGGTCGGTGTGTTTGGTGACGGACGGTGTCGGCAAAGACCGGCTTCGGTCAAGTGCGACTAGTCCTAAAAGGATCCAGTGATGCAACACCTGCGTTGAGGGTGGCCAAATGAGATGTATAAATTATATGTGCAGACCAATGTCTATATATATATATATGTCCTGTCTGGAGGTATAGGGTAGTCTAGCCAGGTGACCTATTGGATGATCTATATTGGGACATGGTGAGTTTTCTGGTTTTCTCCAGTGTCCTCGCATGTCCTCGCCATTGAGATCCCTGGTCATTCTGCTAAGACGGTGGCTCCTGGCCGTTTCTACTGTAGCTGTAGCTGGCATGATATGAATCATTCTATTGAACTTTGAAACATCTTGACCTTGACTCGGATTCTTCCCCACTGCAAACTCCGGAACCAAAGTGATCTTCATTCCGTCATCAGGACCTGGGGCCTTTCAGGGTCGTTCCAAGCGCCGATTCAGAAACGATGCCTCTCTGCCCACTGGCCATCCGACCCGATGGAACGTTCCACACGAAGGGATCCGGTCTGGAAGCACTGGAAGCACCAGGCACCAGAGCCAACCTCCAGAAGTCTGGAACTCGCTCAGGCCATGCCTATTTGAATGCCAACCTTTGGGGCAACGCCTGGGAGGCCTGGAGAATGCCGAAGCGGTCAATGGCTCATGTCATGGCCATTTCGTAGGGCCTATAGCTGAGGCACATCACATCCCACCGGCCACCATGGTCTTCTTTTGTTCCAAAAACATAACATACCAGCTTAGCATAGTTTAGTTGGCAACCCCCACATATAGAGCTCCTAACATACCATACGCTGTTGACACCGTTGGGTCACCCCGGCTCGGCCGTCGCCCCGCCCGTTTCCCGCGGCCCTTTAGGCGTTGATCGCCGCGTGCGCCCAGCCGCGCTTGTCCCAGCCGCTGGCCTCCTGGGCGCTGTCGGGCCTGGCCTCCGCGGCGGAGCGCGGCTGTAAAGCGGCGACGGAGCCCCTGCGGCAGGTGAGCGGTGGGGCGCAGTGGGTTGGTGGAGTTTCTGGCAAAAGATCTATGGTCAAAAGGAGTTTGATTCTTGGAATTGAAGTGGGCCTGCTTGGTGGCGGGTCTCTTTCTCTCAATGGAACTTCGTCCTGTTCCTTGGTGCCTTGGCGCCATTGGTCCAAGTTCGCCACCTGACAGCATGTGAAGAACAGTGCCCTTGCAATCCTACAGTAGACATTGTCTACCAGGACCCCCAGTCGGGGTGGTTAATGGACACCCCTTAACATCTAAGGGCCTCCCTCCTTGGAGAGTCCTGGTAGCCTTGGGTCCACCTGCACTCGCCTCATCCGGCGCTGCCCGGACGGGGCAGGTGGAGCTGCTGCAAGGAGCTCTGGATGCCGAGGCCTCGTGGGTCCCGTGGAAGCTTCCAGTGGGACGTGCCCAACCGGTGACGTTTTTTTGGATAGAGAAGGTGATCATACGAAACCTAGGATGTTGTGAAGTCCATGAAGACTTTCAAGTACCATGGGAATAATATGGGAATTAGACATAAAACATCAAATATAAACTGGGTGATGGTTTCGGATATGTTTATTTCCATCCCTTACTTAGGGGATGATTGGACCCTTTGACTAATATGTTTCAAGTGGGCTGAAAACACCAACCAGTAAAGAACGGTGTGGATTCTGTGGATCCTCAAATGATTTTATAGCCATCCCTATCAGCAATTCCTGTGCCAGAAATACAGAAGAAACACACGAGCCAGCATAATAGACTACATACATGCATCCGGAAGGTGGTCAACCTGATGTGCAAGCAAATCCGAAGGGTAACCTGCAGATGTAGTTCATGCTCTTGCCACAGACCTACAGACAAAGAATCGAACCAGGCACACAAACCGAAACACAGACAGGCGCCAAGAACGAGGCAGAGAGAGAGAGAGAGAGAGGGAGACACAGAGAAACTGAGTCTCATCAGTGCCAAGTTGCATGGCCCAAACCCGAACCAGTGGACCCATCCAGGCGGTGTGGGGCGCGTTGCCCCGCGAGCGGCGCGAGGCAGGAGAAGATCGGCACCAGTTGGGGATAGGACAGACCCACCAAGACCGCCTTTTTGACACCAGATGGCGACATACTTAAGAGGTGAAGGGGTTGGGCTGTGGCTGGGCTCTAGGATACGCCAAGCTAGGGAAGTCCATTGGAGTAGGTTCTATACAAGTACCCAAGGCTGCCTAAAGGGCCCGAAGGCCAAGGCCAGCAGCGAAGAGACATGTGGGGAAGAGAGATATTGGGGTCTTCGAATTGGGAGACTCACCAAAGAGCTCCGGCAATGGCATAGAATAATTCATTGGTTTTGGACCCCCATATCAAACAAATCTGGCAAGTCAAGAACACATGTGGCAATGCAGGCCAGGTGGTTTACTTATAGGTGGTGTGGCAAATGTGCAGGAATAGTATGTTGGTGAAGACCGGTGGTATAAGCAGGCATGGATGACGACAGAGTGACAGAGGGTAGAAGACATGCGAGCGCTGAAATATCCTTGATGGTTACACACCAGTAGATCCCTACCAGGATCATCCCATGGGTGTCCAATGCTCCATAAATCAGTAGTGCAGAGTGGAGTATGATCGAGGTATGATCCGCCCCTATCCTTGTCATGTTTGGTACCATGCTACCACGGTACATCATTGAATCCGCCTCACAGCTGCGGTTCATCCTGTGCCCCGCCAGTGCAGCGGGTTCCATTCCGTCGGTTCAGCTCGAGACCGCCTTGGAGGATCTCCGGCAGTCCGATCCAAGATAGCCGGGTCCCCACAAGTGTGGGGAGCCCCGTGTCTTCCCATACCCGCGTCACACGATGGGGTGGTGCCCCAGTTTGGGCCTGCCTGGTTCGTGAAGGACACCTGCACCAGCAAAATACCTGGTGTTTTCGGTTTGGGATTTTGAATGGATTTGACATGTTTGATTGGGACACCAGCAAAATGCCGTGTGCGTTTTGTCCATCTCGCAGCTAGATGCTAGTGCTCGCCTTCTTCCCACAGAGCTCAATTTTTTCGGGGCCAGAGATCAACATCGCCGATGGTCGAAGAGCTCCGTGCGCAGGGCTTGGAAATCTATATGGCCCTCTCTTTGGAGAAGATCGGGCGTGTGAAGGTGCGGGGGTTTGGGAGATCTGTTGCCAAGTGGTGTCACATCCAGCTACTGTATGATAAATTGATTCAGATGGTGGAGGGAATTCAGAGTCGACATGAATAACATTGTATTATAATATATAGATGGGTTAGGTGCTCAAAGATACCAAACATGATCCACAATATAGTATATGGTCGACATATGTCGACATGGCTGCTGGAGTTCCAGCCGCAAGCGGAACAGACGAGCCGGGACTTTGTTCTCCCACCAAACATCTTAAAGCACTTCAGGCACAATATCGAGTGGGATAATGGGATTTTACATGGATTTGTGCTTGGTGAATCGCAGACATTCCTCCCATGCCACCCTCCTGCTTTTCAATGCAAAAAGCTTCAAGAAACACATCAGCTTACCACAAAACACATGCCCCACCTTGTCCCCCTGCTACACTTGCCTGTCGTGCCCGTTTGCTTCGCGCGCACCCGCCTCCGCCCGAGGAGAGCAAGGCACTCCTCACGCGGATCGCACAGCAGGGCAGCGCCGAGCGGAGGCAGCAGGCGCCGTTGACCGCGCCGTGGACGTGGATAAGCTCGGCCGGGCAGAAGGGAACGGAATTTTCAGGGAAGCATCGACACCTGTGGTGGCACCACCGGTTTTTGTGAGACATCTGGTGCTGAATCGCGGGTCCCGCTCTTGAGGAGGAGTCGATTGAACTTGTTTGAGGCTCTTGTTAAAGCATGCACTCATTCACTGAAAAGAAACTCACCCTTGCCATTACACACTGGAAATTTCACATGGAACCTGAAAACCACGTCGGGTTGTAAAGGAAACATAAATAAAAATACATCATCTTCCAGTCAGGTCCATGCCAAGCCCGGTTCCATGTGGGTCTCTTCCCCGGTGTATCTAATTACTGTAGCAAAAAGCTGGATGCTACTTTGCTTCAAGATCCTCGTCTTCTACCGTCATCGGGGACCCGTGGTCACGACGCTGACCACCGCGAAAAGCGCGGACGCTGACCAAGCGGGTTTCGATCATGGTGTATCTATAGAGTATGATATAGGGTGTAGCTGGTATAGCCCAATATCCAATTAAAGCAGGTTATCACGATTTGGTGAGAAAGGCCTAACTGCCTGACCATGGCCACACGCACAGGAAATCCCTGTGATTGGCAATTGGATGTTCAATGATTTTTAAACCGACCACTCATGGAGTTTCTCGGTGTCGACGTTCCAGGCCGAGTGGGCCTTGCTGGTCCAGGCGGATGGGTGGGGCGCGATGCTGGGTCCAGCTGACTGCGGGTTGGGGAGAGCATGGGAGAGCAAGAGTTTTCTCTTGGGGAGACGAGCAGATTGGGCCCTCAAGTTTTTGAATCCAATGGACCCGCGACTTGGCCAGAACTGAGGAACATACCCGGAATTTCTGTTGCTTTTGCTGGCCTTGTTTTTCATTGTTGGTCAACTGGTGCATGCCTTAAAGGTTTGTATACTTTAACACTTTGACTGCTCGTTTCAAAGCTGACCAATGGATGCATCATAATGCAAAAACAATTGTATGAATCGTACAACTACATCAGCAAATCACAAATCCAAACAGCAACACGATGATCCCAAAGAAGCAAAAGAAGAAAGAGATAAGCAGAAGAGCAACAGCAACAAGGGCAAGTGTCACCAACACATGAAACAAAAACCACAAAAAACGCCGCCCGCCCCCGCCAAAAGGGTCCATTCATGTCACCATGCAATGGGTGAACCCCTCTCAATCCCCACCCTGGTCCATATCCCAAGCCACCGCCACCGGTCCCACCTCCCCTCCACGGCTTCGTCCTGCTTCGTTCTTCCCGGGTCCCACCGGTCCTGCACGCAGGACGCGGAGTCGCCCACGGCGACGGCCGAGGGTCGAGAGATGCGGCAGATCTGGGACCAGGCGACCGGGGCGACGCGGTGAGGGACTCGGCACCGGCAAGGCAGTAGGCAGGCAGAGGAGGCAGTAGGCTAATAGAAAATGCAAGATGAGTAGGCATGCTATGGCCGGCATGCTAGTAGGCATGGCTTTTGTGCCATGGCGGTCGTCTTTGGATTTGCGTGGGGGTATGATTATATATTATATAGATATATATTATGTTCCAAGATCCGTGGATATATTATGGGGTGAGTGTTCCTCCACTGCTTCGACGGGGGAGACGGGGCTCAACAGCTGTTGAGCCCTGAAACGGGGGCCCAAGCCACATCCCAAACTGACTGGGAGCTGGAAGAGGAGTCTCCTTGATGGGCGATTCATGGCGATTCGACCGATTTCTATGGGGTCAAGATGCTTTGGAGTGGAGAAAGGCGACAGGTCGATCAATTGTTTTATCCAGAAATAAGATGAAATGAGTACATAACAACCTCAGGGGGGTCTTGTTGCTTAAGAGTGGTCGTAGAAAAGATAAGAAAAGGGCTGTCCAAGACACGAGAAAAAGAAACAATGGGGCCAATTGGGATCTAGAGTCTAGAGTTCTCACTGGAGCTTTGCACGGGCAAATCTGTTGAGCAAAGCAATTCAAGATCCCTCTCAAACACGAAAGGTCGCCTGGGCTACCAAGACTTGGTGAATTGCCTTTGGTCCTGTAGGGCATGCCCCCCCTGGATCAGGTCTCCCCCCTGACGACCGGTTTAGATACAGCGGCAGACCGGGTGCTTGAGACTCGAGAACGCCCTACGTATTGACCTCCCAAGACTAAGGCACTTCCGCTTCTGGGCACAGCAAGCAACAAGTGCCATCTCAGTTAGCAAGATCGGAACTTCCGCAGCATGAGCATGAGCCGCAACGGACCATTCGACTTCACGGGGATGTCCGGTTGCGATGAAGGAATCTCACCGTGAAGAATCCAACTGTTGTCTGGCCACTGTCTTGCCACAACAATTCCACCATGTCCTTCCATGATAGAAGCGATGGTTCTTGGTTGAAACAGAAGATGAATTCCAGCAGCTTCTCACTAGCCCCAAGGAAGAGACACCTATATCATACATGTTAGTTGAGACAGATTCAACTCTGACCCCTCATTTGAACACGTGCCGTGCCCCCAATTCAAGGCTTTGATCAAAGGATCGCTTCGGGTGGTCTGGGCCCCTGAGCCTGCTACCGACCTCGTTCACCCCCCTCAAGTTGGACCATGTTTGCAGACGTATCTTCCCGTACCAGCAATTCAATTGGTTCATCGTTGGGACTTGAAGAGTCGGGTTCCCAAACCCATCGCAGATGAAAATATCATTCCCAAACCCTCAACCACTCCCAGACAGGTGATGGGAAGCGGTTGTTTTCATGGGTACTGCCCTGTCAGAAATCCCAAGAATCCACTCGACCCTCCTAAGAAATCCGAGAATCGGAGTCCGGGCAAAAGGGGTCTCGGAGAACGGAGCTCCTGAACACCAAAGCCGGATTCCATTGGTTGGTTTGGATTCTTAGGGTACAATAGGGTACAATTGCATCACCTGACCTCCCCTTCAAACCTCCCCTTCAAACTTGACTGCCAGGTGGCGCCAACCACCTCGACGTCGTTGCGGAGTGGCCGCACGGGTGCGGCCATGGGTGGCCAGGCCGGGTTGATGTGCTGCAAAGTGGTCCAGGCAAGACGAGTTGTTTTTTGGGGGGGCTGTAATGTAGACTCTTTTTTAAGAACCCCGCCATATTATGACATATGATGACATATGAACGGGTTTTACAATCCGATTGGAGGGGTTTTATGCATCAAGATTATACATTATGCTTGCTTTGCCTTATAAATGGCCATGAGCAGCTGCCCTGCGGGCATATAGACTTGGATATTGCAACAAGAATGGTGCTTCGTCAATGGTGCGGGCAAATGCGGGCAAGCATGGTTGTATACAAGTAGCATGGTGAAGCATGTGTTCCATTGTAATAGCTGCTTGGTGGGGGAAACAGAACTGCACTAGGCAGTTTGCGGATTGGCTCAGGCACGTGAGATGAATTGAAAGAAAAAACTGTGAGCACAAGTTGCTCCATGGAGGACAATGATTATGTCATCCATCCACTTCTGAAAACAAAGAAAAAACACATCACGGCCTCCTTGCGACAAACGTGGTCCCAAGAAACATCAAGTGAATACATGGCCCAGCAATCGGTATATAACATCATTGTATCGTGTTCAACATAGCATTGACACTTGAGCAAGAGGCTAAACTCTCCGCGACACAGAGTAGTCTTCAAGCACAGATTGGGTCAGCACCTTCACTTCGACCTGTAAACCGATACTGTATATGAACTCCCAAAAACGACAGCCTTGGAATGAGCACATACGATGTGATGTGATAACAAGTACTGCGTTTGGACCAGCACCTGCATGCACCGGCGCTTCCTGACAGCATAGTTGTGCATGGAATTGTGGAACAGACCCTGTAGCATGTGAACATTGACACTTTCCCCATGCGAACACTGTGCCCCGAGTGGGGCCGACCATTGCATATAGAGCATATTCTCGCACTGTTCCCGGACATGTGAATTCCCACGATAAGTCCCACGATGCTTTCCCAAGCTGTATTTAGGCTTTGAACGATAGCCAAAACGATAACTATACAATAAACATCTATAATAAATCGTTGCACATGAAAAGAAAAGATCAATCGGTCAATGCATGTAGGTGCCCAGCTACCAGACGAGAAAAAGCTGAGGTAGAGATTAAAGCTGTGGCCGCACCCATTTGGCAGGTGTTTGACATCAATGCGTTCAGGGTTTATTGGAAAACAATATAGTGAACCCCCAAACACGATAACTTTAGCGCATCCACGCAAACAACAATTGAGGTTTTGATTCAATGAGCGACCATGAAACACATCCAAGCCCCACAACCTCAAACTGTTACAAATAGATGTTGCAAGTGGCTCAAATCCGGTTGTTGAAGTGGTTCCAAGGGAACATCTGATGTTCATCAGGTACAGTGGTTTCAGAGGACATCTTGAGGTCTGCCTCATTTATAAAATTACTCTAAAGTCACTTCATGGGGTTTGTAGTGCTGCAATCGTCTTTGTCTTGCAGATGCATGCTGCCAAAGTGCTGTGGAATGCGGTCCCCGCTGGTGCGTGATCTTATTGTATCAGTGCTGAAACGGTACAGTGCCAACCATTTCTTTGCAGCAGTGTTGAGAAGCATTTGGCGGCTTCACTGACTGGGTTGAAAGCTGGTTCTGAAAGACTAGGATACGTCCTCTTTTTTCGTGAACCGCTCCGTTCGCAGGGTTATTAAACTGGACGATGTGTTTTTGACGTTCACTTGTAGCGTGTTCTTGGCGGAATTGAAAGGAATGGATCCACTGGTGAAGAAGGAACACCCACCACAGAAGCGAATCCTAAGACTTCCCATCACACTAGCTGCCTCGTAGATTTGAGGCGGCCACAGTGTGCGATCTGTGTTGCTACGCGACCACTGGGACACTCCATGTATGGAAATATGGCTTACACTAATCTTACGCTAATTTGGTGGTTTTTGTGGGTGAAATTGAAATGGCCATATTTGGTTACATGGAGCATTTAGGATTATATATATTATAAGGTGTCCAGACATGTTCTTGGACGTTCTCTTGCCGAACTCTCTTGTCGTTTTCATGGGACGTGCCCTGCAGCCCTGCACCTCTTATGCAGGGCCGCCGCAAAGCTGACGGTTTGGACGGGGCTTGGCCAGTCCTTGCGATGTTGCTGTTGGTGCCTCGGCCTCGGGCAGTGGGGGCCGAAGCTAGGAGGAGGATGAGTGTGACGCAAACTTGCAGGTAGCCTCAGCTAGTCACGACTAGCCTCAGCTACAGAGAGGAGGCGGGTTCACAAACATGTGGCGAACCATGATTTTTCGCGTGCTTTTGTTGGATGAACCAAATCGATGGTTCAGTGCTGTGGGCTCAAAGAGTAAACCCATTGCTGGATATTGAGCCGCTTTCCTCATACTTGTACCGGCTTCATATATAAAGAACAAAATCATCCGTGGAATTCATTGTGCCGAACTGGTCAAAAATGCCTTAGCCTCAAGAATCAATTTGGATGGACATGAGGCGATGAACCCAACTGGGTCCATATGTTTGGATGATTTTTGGCATTTATTGTAATGTGTAGCATAGATTTCTTAGATTCATTGGTTTTAACTCAGCTTAACGTTTCTATTCCCAGCTGGCAGGAAAGAACCTTGAAAACCTGCTTTTTGACTGGTTGCTGCTGGTTCCTCTTGGCTTGTCATGGTTTGATTTGTGCTTGTGTACCGTCCTAGGCGCTGCCGCTAGCGGTCCCTTTGCTTCTGATTGGCCGCTGAAAAAATCCAGCCACAGCTCGCTTTCGGCAATGTGTGCAGCCTGGGGGAAGACGCAGTGTAGGGTCCATAGCTGAGTGGAAGGAAGCTGATCATATAGTATTATTTTCTGGGTAGGCAGTGACAGTGTGTTTTGCAAGGGCCACTTGTCAGTGACAGTTTGTGCCACCAGCTGGGTGGCCACGGGGAGCATTGGTTAGCATTTTGGAAGAGACATCGCAGCGGTGTTCACCAAACCAACCCTAAAACTGGCACTAAGAGGCGATTCCTTTTCGGACATCACTTTTCCAGTCACCTGGCCAGAACAAACATTTTGGCACCCATGGCGGGTGACTAAAAGGATAGGAAAACACATATCCCTGGTTCTTCAAAGAGACCTTTTGATATCCTGGTTGGTTCGGTCACCAGGCCTGTAACAGGTCACGACTGGGGACTCCAAAAAGGTCACGAACTGAAGAAGCTGGTCAGAATATGTTGGTTTGTTCTTTTTCATGTTTCTTTCCGCAACCGTCGTGTCCACCGCGCGGTCGTTTGTCCTGCCAGGTGAATGAAAGACCCAACGCGTTGATCAACCGCGAGGCGCGGGGCCTGCAGGGCGGTGTTTTCGCACGAAACAACGGGGGCAGATGGTTCTTCAGTTCTTGGGTAGTTCAGAGCCCGGACATGACCTTTGGTTTAATAGATTTCATTTTTGGGTGGTTGGCGATCCACAGCAGAGGTCACTTAAGTTCTATTTAGGATTATTTAAGTATAGAGATGTCAGCACTTGCGACTGATGACAGACTCCATCTGTGGCTGGTACGTGCCATGACGTACTCTCGATGTGTTCGGAGGTTTCGATCGATGGTCGGTCCCAAGTTGCATGTGATTTTTTGGTTTTAGACATCTGACATCTAGAGGTGTTAGACTTGGGCTGTTGAGGTTTGTTGAACTCATCTGATAAGGGTGGCTTTCCAAGTTGACTGACATTGCTGTGGGAAGGAATTGACGGATGAAGAATTCATTCATTCATTCAGAATGACATAGTTAAGTGTTGCTGGGTAATTCCCAACGATACCGGGGTTTGACAGCCATAATTTAATTGTAATTGCATGTTTGAAGGGTAGGATGCTTTGGCTATCACGTTCGTTGAGTCATTTCTGGAGTAGTTGGAGTAGCCAAGTCAAAGATGCACATGCAGTACATGTGACATGCGGCGCGTTTGAAGAGTAGGAAGAGTCGGAAGAGTGCCTGCACGCAAAACAGTGTATGGTCCATGAGGTACCTATATAAACATTTTGGACATTGACTTGCTTCATGCCAAACATCAGTTTGATGATGCACCTCCATGCACAACAAATGACCTACCACGGGAGATTCTGACCGGTGACCGCTCGTTCAGAACGTTGGAAGCCAATGGAGTCGCTTCATGTCCCTTCTGCCGAATGCGACCCAGCGGCTAGGTGCTTTGTGCCAATGCGGCTGGGGGTGTGTCGCCAATGTCACCCTTGTTGGATCAGCTGATGAAGTTGGAGGCGGAACAGGAGGAGCTCATGTTCAGCACGTGTGTTAGGTGTGAGGTGTGGGGGCCTGCTGTTGAGCGCAGCTTGGCTCCAAACCGGAAAGACAGCATGGCCACATGGTCGACTTTGGGTGGTTTGAAGGAACTGTCTACTGACCATTGCCTTTGCGGTGTTGGATATCTATTTCACAACCACGTTGGAATATGTTGGACAATGATTTGGTCGTCGTTCCTCTCCTCGACACTTCAAGAGCTCGTGGTTTGGAAGAGCTTCGTCAGGCTCGTCAGGGCGTTTTTTTGCGCAGAACAACGCTTGGAGGGTGGGTTTTGGACGTGGGCGCTCAGCATTCGAAGTTCCAATACAGCGGTAATTATACGTAGGCCTTGGAAAGGCATTGATGAAAATTGATCCAACGCGGTGGATTCCACATGTTGGTTCCCACTGGGACCACGCACTTCAACCACTGTTGAACTACTGTTGACAGATGTTGACAGGCATTTGTGAACCAGAGACGGCTTGGTTTAGTCTCTTCTCCCAAACACGTTTGTTCACCGAATCTCAGATCATCCCGGCCACATTCGGAGCAAATTTCTTCCCAACATATTATATATATATATTATATGTATATAGTTGAGCTGTTGCACATTCCATATCTATTCCAGAAGTATGCAATGTAAGGCTAAAGGGGTCCTTGTAAAGCACTCCTTGCAATCCAAAGACCCTCCAGTCTTTGACCAGTGGGTCTTTGACCAGTCACAGTGGTCTTCTCTTTCCTCTCGGGTCTTTCCGCACGCCGGTCACGACGCCAGGAGAGGAGGACGGAGCTAGCGGAGCTTCTAGTGAAGCAGGGGCAGCGGCAACTCAGCAGCAGAAGCAGGATTTCGACCGGCTTTGGCAATACCTGACTCTCAAAGGGTATTCGACTCTGTAAAACCGACCCTGTAGGGATCCTGTGGGTTGAACTTTGGAGGGGTGAGGGAACATGTTCTTGACGTGTTTAGGACCTGGCTTTCCTCATTCGAAGGTATACAGTAGCATGAATCAAGGGGTTATATAGATCGAGGTAGAAACGTGCTCCTGGAGCTTAGTGACTTCCAATTTGAGACTCTCTTGTTTGGGCGCGAGGTTGTGTTTCGTGAAACTACATGGAATTGCAGTTTCAGAACATGTACGTTGTGCGGAAAGTACAATAGTACAACCCCACTTCCAGTTGCAGGGGTCGTGTCTCTTCTCAGAGACACTGCAGGGGGGTCCATTTCAAGTCATGATAAACTCCTGCAGTCGTCCGTTTGATTGCAGCCGGGGAATTCGGTTTGGAATGCTTTGGAAAGGACACCAGAAAACAATGCGTAAAGGCCAAGAACGATTTGACAGTGGGACTGGCGGGTTTCGCTTGTTTTCTTGTTGCTCTTGACGAAAGGCCTTCAAGAACATGTTTTCGATTGTGTTTGTCCCACATGTTGGTGCCTTTATGTGCCTTCCTTCCTCCTAAATAATACCCTGAAGAAACGAATTCAACTAAGAATTTGAGACATGATCTCCTGCATTGGACATGACCCCGGCCTCAAACAAACAGTTGCTGATTTTGTTGAGCATTCTTCAGCGTAGAATCGCTTATGACACCCCGGGAGTGATTTCACCGAAAAAACAACTCCTTCTAGTTTCCACCTTCTAAAGCAGTGGACACATGTATATAATGACACTTCATGACACTTCAGTTATTACTCAAGACCTTTCTGATCTGTTACACCTCTATACTTGTTGGACAGGGCGAGATCGTTTTGACAACCTCCCAGTGACTAAGGCAGAGCACACCTGAGGAAAGGGAGCGTGGGGTGGCCCAGAGGAGATTCGACCCAAGCTGGAATTCGGTCCGCACATCCGTGGACCGGACATCGGACGGAGCGAAGCGGCACGAAGCACAGACCCGGTCTCGACGGTGGGCAACGACACCTTCACGCCCCGAAGCGGTGGTGTAAACATGGAGATCGATCAGAGTGTTGGAGTGTTGGGCTTTCCGGCAAGGTGACGCCTTTGATTTCAAGTAGTATTGAAGTCCGTCCCATGGGTGTTTATCCAAATAGGGAGACCTCTCAAAGACCTCCTGGAGGATGGAACATATATAAGAACACCCCATTGGATACACACCCACATTGACATGGAAACCGCTGGTACCTGAGTGAAACCGCTCCGCTGGCTGCAAACCCTCGCAGCTCCGCTCCAGCTAAGGGGACCACAGGCGAGATGGATGTTGTCTCATGTTTTGCTATAGCAATGGTTGACCTGTGGTAGTTCAGGGCAGGGCAGGACCTGACTTCACATCCCTTTTGGACCAAGTGCTACATGGCACATCTTGGGGGCTGGAAGGGGATGCTAAGCAAAGCTCACGGACAGACATCAAAGGTGACAGGAAGGCAGACATCCAGAGAAATGAAAGACCAACTAACCACCAATGAAACCTGCTAGGTAAAGACCACAGGAAAGACAAAGCCGCTGCTCTATTCAAGTGAAATCTGGACTGATCAAAAGAAAAGGCCTTTTCTGGATAGGTCCGGAAGGAAACCTCCCGCCGAGCCTCTGAGGTCAACAGTTAATGAAGGACAACTTACTGCGCCTGGAGGACGTGAAAAGACCGTTTGAGGGGTGGAACCTCACCAGTTGAGGACGGTCTGGGCATACCAGGTTGATATGGATGGGGTTGAAGATGGTTGAAGTTGCGTCTGAAGATCTACAGGAAAGTCGTCAGGTAATTGGTGTAACTGGTTATACACAAAGTACAAACAGTTGGCATTTCAGGATCCCCTGAAGTGTGATATGGTTTTGTCCACCCTTTTCCTCCCTTTTGGGATACTGGAAGCATGTCTTTGCCAGACCCCCGAAGCCATTTGAACCAGGTCGCTTTGACCATCCGCTCGAAGCCGGAGAAACCCCCCGCGGGTGGGCGGATCCGGCGCCTCCCTACCGCCTACCGCCCCCCCCCGATGCTCCTCCATCGGGCCGGTCACCCGGGATGCACCGGTGGAACCACGGTAATCACGGACCCCGCCCGGGTGTCTCCGGTTCGGGCGCCTTTGGGGAGAAAAGCCCCCCCCGTCTTCCGGGACCCGTGGGGATCAGTGACAGCTGGGAGTCCCGAGACTGCGAGACTTCCGTCGCATCGTCGAAGACGGGGCCCGTGAGAGTGGAGTCCGTTGAGTGCTGACATGGCCCAGTCGGTTGAGATCACCCATTCTTATGAAGAACATTGGAAGACCTTTCAGGGAGGATTTCGAAGGACGGTGCCGCAAAATGGAAACCAGTTGATGGGGCCGAGTCGTTGGACAAGAGTATATGGTGCAAGAGGACGAGGTGGTTCCAGTCATAGATGGCCTGTTACCTACAGGTTGACTAGTATTGGGGGTTGATTGATGTATATCTGTGATTAATCAGAAAACAAGTGAGCAAGCAACTTATGGTACATGAGAACCAGATCGACCCATCGTCATTCATCTTTATTCCCCAAAGGACATCATCGGTTCCTATGCCACAGGAGCTCCGCTTCGACCAGATGATTCTGACGAAGCAGCGGGCGTTGGGCAGCCGAATGCCCATGGGTGGTGGGGCAAGGTCGCCGCGGCCAGAATTTTTGCACAAGCCGGACATGGAGCCCACACACCAAGTATCATCTCTTTGGAGTACTGCAGTGGCGTTCCTCCAAATGTGAAGCATCTGTTTTTCCAGCAGGAGTATCCCTAAACACGGGGCCACAGAAGAGGCGGCGGCACTTGGGTTGGTCGACCTGTTTGTGACTCAGAGGACCGGAAGAGACCAGTTGAGACCGGAAGCGCGAAGGAGAGCAGTCGACCAGTTCCTTCACCTCCTACCAGTAACGACGTTCTTCCTTCATTTCCCCGAAGCCATGCGGCCAATCCACTACACTCACAGTGGTAACATGTGGTAACTGGGATCCACTGGGGCTGTGTTTGAGGCAGCAGCAGCAGCAGCAGGCTGCCCAGCTCAAGGAGCACCGGCTGCCGATCGGAAGATCCGGAAGGTGTCGGGGAGAAGACGAAAACTGGGGCACACAAGCAGCTTCTTGTTACGTTCGTAGTGATGGCCTCCAACCTACTAGCTATGGCCTCCAAGCTACTAGCAATGGCACACAAGTAGGATGGCTCTTTGATGCTTTTTGGGGTTTTCACTCCCTGAAGGAAGCATGATTCCGTAGATGGCACCACCTGTCCACTTAGTGGACAACAGTTTTCCAAGCGGCCAAGCCATCCACTTCCGTGTATATAGTATAGCCAGATTCTTCAAAGCCAGATTCCAGGAACCACGGTAGCCCCTGTCATTGCTTCTTTATGTCAGATATACCTACTGTAGTAGCAAGAGATGCAACTTCCGAAGGCACAGCTCTATACTTTGACACTCTACCCAGCAAGTCCAAGCAAATCAATTTTAAGCATCGTATTGACCTCATGAAACTCCATTGACCTTCGCACTATGCACCAAAAGGACTGGACATGACTGGACTCTTGGATAGAACACGAGAGACCTTCATGTTCACCTGAATTGGTGGTATACCATTCTCTTGGACCATTGTCCGGGCTTTCCCAACGTCCGAAAGACGCAGCGGAGACTTCCAGTTCTCGCGGGCTTTCAGTGACTGTGGTCAGTACTGTGAGGAGCTGATCTTGCCCTTCAAGAACTACTACCAGACCCATATCCTCACGAGAGACCTGGCCCTCCAGATGCCCAGGCGTCGGTCTATTCTCTGTGTGGACGACGGATCGGAGAGGTTAGGCTTCAGAGACTCTCATCCTGCTAAGCACGGACCATTCTAGACTTAGAGACTTGAGGACGCGTTCCAAATCCAGCAGAAAGCATGAGAGTACTATTTGATCTCAAGATGAATGAGCACTCCTCCGGGTGCAAATGGGGCGTGAACTGTGCCCTAGACTCGTCGATGCATCGATGGGCAATGGGCACCCCACTGTGCCCTCCTATGGCAGAAGAGTTGGACAATGCTTTTGTTTTGATTGGAAGTAGATTGCTGATGCTATGCTTTGTCTCAAAGAGAAGCATCTTGGGCAGAACAACAAACACATACAAAAACATCTGTTGGTACATTGGAGCACACTGGAGCCAAAGTGAAGGTTCCCATGTTTGGCAGTACTTTGGTTTAGATTCCCTGCCCTGTTTGGCTCAGGATCTCGGAGTCCGATGTTCGAACGTGCCGTTCGTCCGGTTTCCTGCCGCACGCGACGCAGGCTCTACGAGGACTTCCCCTGCCAGTCCGTTTGCTTTCGGGAGGCAGCACAGGCCGCTATGCAGGTGCGCTCTGCGGGAGGCGTTTCAGCCACACAGCACTCAGGCCATAGGCCCAGGCCCTGCCGGCCCTGCTGGTTTTCCGGTGTGGTTTTGGGGCTGGGGGATCTATGGGGCACAGCTGTGGTTGAGTGGGCGCAGCAGTGTACACTGCAGCCAAGTCTTGGGAATGACCAGATCGAGAATTGAAGCACTGCAGTTGAGAAAAGAATAGGACGCCCGTCTGAGTAGAAGGAGGTGTTTTTTCGTATATAGATGTCTATAGGTGACACTGGCTGTATTGGTGTCCAGGTGGACAGGTCGAACTTAGGATGATCACCTTCTGTCGGTAGCGGAGCGTCGGACCGATTGGCTCCCGCAGGTTTGCCAGCCCTTGAGGCTACGTGAGGAGGAGCCACCGGGACGGCACGGCACGCGGAGGAGGTACGAGCCCGGTAGGTTTGCGAAGCCCAAAGGCTTGGTTACGCCTCAGTGTTGGGGGTCCACTCAAAGGGTCTCAGCCTTGGACTCTTGATGACCCCTTAGTATTCAGGGTGGTCCTCAAGATGTACTCCCAGACACTCCATGGGACTGCCATATATGCCGATCAGTTGGGGTGGTTTGGGGGGTCAATGTAGGCACATATTCCATACACGGAGTGCATGGGACTGTATGTACAGCATTTTGATGGTCCATGAGGAGAGAGTGGACACATCCAAGCAACTTTGCAGGTCAGAACATCATCGTCGATTCCAGGGCTCGTTGCTACCAGGACCCTCGTAATTACTAAAATCACCTCTTAGAGGTGATTCGGGGTGTCCAAAAAGCAGTTGTGTCTTGGTGGGTTCTCCTTTGAGTGACGAATGAAAAAAACCACACTCCAGAGATCTCTCCCGAGATTGGAATCAGACATCGCCAGCCGCATGGCAGGTGTTGTTGGCTTTTGCCACGCTTCCCCTGTTGCTCTTAGAACATGTCATGATCCGATCATGATTTTGTTCTTCTTGGTGCAAGTGTTTGGAGAAGCGTTGATGTGTGAAATCTCTGCAGAGACAGCTGGAACTACCAAGCATGTGGAATGTATAAGACCACCACGTCCGAACATGTGCACTGCCACCAACGAGAGCGCAGTCGAAGAAGACACACCCACGGCCCACCGAAACAACGTGGACCTGCCAAGCGATTCGACCGTGCGGTGAACAGATCAATCCTTTAAACGAAGGTCGACCAAAAATACGAAGCCGACCCGACGGACCCCGCATGACCCCGCTGACCAAGCTGGCCCTCCATTACAGCTAATCACCAAACCATACCCGACAAAGAAAGACCAAGCACCTGGTGTTGGCCAGGTCTTTGTCGTTCCTCCCGGTTAGCCAGCCTTTCCTCTGTCCGCGGGTGCTGCAGGACACGGACTCCAGCGCAGTGGGCCTCTCCTCCGCGGTCTCGGGCTCGAGGGGCGCCCGGCCCAGCCGCGAGGGGCGCCTCTCCTCGCGGCGTGAGGCCTCGTCGGTCGGGGTGTCTGCGCGGTCGAGCAACTCCACGGCGCCCACGATGGAAGGCCGGGAGCGAGGGCCGGGGCCGGGTAGGACGAGGGCTGGGGCCTTGTAGGGCGTGGGGGTTGGGACCAGTTGGGGAGAACTGTACTGTGCCATACTGTGCCCATGTTGTTTTGCATGGAATCCATGGAAGTGGTAATTGGTATAACATAATATATACTCGTAGAACATACTAAGGCAAAGTCGAGAAAGCCATATAGGCCACTGCACCTTTGAGTCTTTCGGAAAGTGATCGTTCCAAGTTGTTGTAAATAGTTGTACTGTTGTACTGTAGTTCAGAATCCACAATCAAGATCAAACATATTTTTCTCCAAGCGAGCGGTTCACAGCGGCCAAAGATGCGGCGATATGTCAGTTGTTTCAATTTCCTGAAATTGATTGGAGAAACTGATTTCACAAACACTTGATGTCCAAAAGCATGTACAAACTAACATGAACACAGCGGACCATCAATAGTAAGAAACCACTAGCATATTATATATACAAACACCATCAGTCACCCATCCTTCTCATGTGAGGAAACATCTCAACCATCCAGGGTTGACTGCGACCAGGCCACCGCATCAGCCGGCCCTCCGTACCGAAGTTGCTTTTACCCAAGAGGCTCTGACGTGGCTGGTGGTGGGGTGGTCTCACCATGTGTGGGAGTGGCAACGGCCTGGTGAGAAAAAGGGCTGGAAGACTAACTACCAGGACCTTCAAAGTGACCTCTTTGGAGTCTCTAAGTGACCTCATTCTAGGATCTCAAAAGGTCACTTTGAAGGTCCTGGATGAATCTTAAATAACACGTCGTTCATCAGATTTTTCTTTACTTTTGGAAACACATGAAAAAGGCAGAGTGCTTGGAGCTTTGAAGCAAGCTTATCGATGTGCACGGTTTGCAACATGGACTATAAACCCCTCACTCGACACTATGGGCTTTCAGCATCTTCCAGATAAACCAGTTCACGGTGGAACATCCCTTCGAACCATGCCCGGCATCCGAAAACTGAGCTGTGGTGTCCATATTTGTTTGTTCAATACCTTTACTTTGGGATGATTGAATCCACCACCGAACCAGACTGGCCATTTGGGAGACTGTTTCACCCCCCAGGTGTTTCAACAGCCCAAATGCTTCACAGCGCCAGATACGCGCGCTCCACACCCTCTCCGCCAGGCTGGAGGGCTCCGAGGCGCGCCTGGCCGCTCGGCAGAGGTCGAAGTCTTCGTGAAGAATGGCGAAGAGTGAACTTGAAAGCAAGAAAGCAGCAGATCGGCCGAGAAGTTGCATCATTGATATATCATATATCATATTATATATATCATTTTTTTTTTTTTGGGGGGGTGGTTTAGTTGATAGTTGATAGATGTTTATAGACACCCCTGACTTTCGACCATGTATTGGCCATGCAAGAGCCACACCCGACGGGGGGCTTCTGACGGGGTCTTCTGACCGGTGGTGCTGGCCCTGGTAGACCAGTGCCAGGCACGGTGAGCGGGGCCCGGTCTAGCTCCCTTAGACCATTAGAGGTGCTAAGGGATGTCATGGGATGTCCAACCACCCCAAACCGGGGGGCTCCTGGGATGAGATCTTTTTTTGTTTTGCAAAGTTGAAGAGATTTAAACAGAACCTTTTGACAGGGACTGCGCATCAACGGCGAGCACAGACCGTTCGATCAATACCTGGTCGACGTGTTACGTTCGTTTGGGTTTGCCGGCGAAGGAACCAATCAATGGACCATGGCTTGGACCCCGCACCCAACGCGTGAACCCTACCAACAATGGTTCTTGCAGTCCCATCCCAAAGCCACAGAACATGGGGCATTTCAAGGAACTTTGCACCTAAAAGACCAGGTGCACAGACTCCCCGATCTGGAAGCCCAGAGGGTTCCTCCAGTTCCACCACCCAGGACAGCCGTCAGCGGAAGACCAGGGATGCACTGGAGAAGCTGACGCAGGTCTACTCCGTCCGGGGCCAAAGGAAGCGGAAAAGGAGACTCTAAATGCCCAAGAACGCAATTCATCGCGCCATCAAGATGGCATTCGATAAGTGAAAGTCTAAGTGTCACCATGTTCCATCTATTCCATGCACTTCCTTTTTCTTAATGGTTTTACATCTCTCCATCGCGCTGGCCATCGCAGAGGTGTCACCACTTCCCCTGTCCATCTCTGCCGTTCGTCGTTCGGCCCAGGTTCCCATCAGTCGTTCAGCTCCTTGCTTGGTGAACGCGAACAAAAGTCAACTGCGAGGCGGGGCAGTTCCGGTACGGCGAGTAGTTCACTCGGAAGCTCCGCGCCACGCCACGCGACGACTCGACCCTTCCGGTGTGAACCAGAAGGAGGGCCAGAGGCACTGCCAGAGGCATGTAGAGGGAGCTGGGAGGGACTGGGGAACCCACTCAGCAGTGTTCAACTCGAGTTTTCACCGATAGTGTTGATTATCTGATAACCCAGACGCGACCTGTCTGGGACTGCCAGTCCGGACTGCCGAGAAACGGCCAGGAGTGGTGCCAGGGGGGTTTGTCTGGGGCGGCAGTCCTACGGCAGTCCCACTAGTCGTGTATGGAGCTACGGTCAATGGATCTCGATCTTTTCTACCGTCCTGATGCTCCTTCGTTTTTTGGGACAGGAGGCTCAATCATGTCACAAAGTGGTGGCCCCATTCAAACTAAACGTAGGAGGTTCTAGGAACATGGTTGCACAATTATGATGTATGATTCCAAGCCCTTTCTCTGAACTAGTCTATGGCGTCCAAACTCTGGAGAAACCCAAACAAACCAAAGAACCCTTCTTTAGAACATCACATTGGACACACATAAGTCAACTGTGTTGTTTTTGCTGAGGGAGACAGAACATAAAAGCACCACGAATTCCCTTACATCACTTCCGTTGGGAGCCGACACCGTCCAGACGCGGGAGTCGTCCGTCGACGAGATCGAACAATCGCAGGTCCTGAAAGGGAGAAGACCGAGGAGGTGCCGCTGACCGAGGGAGGGACCGTTTCTGTTCGAGTTGGAGTGGGAAGAAAACCACCCACATCCACCCACCAGGTTTTTCATGTATTAGACTCTATAGGTTAATGTAAAACCCATCCCACTTGAAGAACCTCTTCGCATGGGAGGATCAGAATCTACCAGACGGGGGGTGGGCCTCTTCGTTTGAAACCTCGCCACATCGAAGGAACCGAAGCGCCGGGCTGTTTCGAGCAGAAAGACCCCAGCCGTTGCGGGTTATCCGGAGGGAATCTATATGTCACACGTCTGCAGAGCGTTAGGGCATCGAAATGGTTTCACATGGTTTCACGGACTGCCAGTTCGGACTGCCAGTCCGGACTGCCGAGACACGGCCAGGGGTGGTGCCAGGGGGATCAATGTAGGCATGTATTCCATACATGGAGTGTATGGGATTGGTTTCATGATGACACCAAGGATTCGTGAGACATGATGACACGATCGTGTCCCGCATCGGCCGAGGGGAAAGACTGGTGTCCTCCCTGGACGACGCAGTTCATCATGAGAAGATATGCAGAGTTTTGACTCATCAACGGCTGTTGTTCTGCAAGTGCAGGCTTGTATTTATGTGCATTTTTTTCTTGTGTGTGTGTGTCCAGGGTGCGCACACACACACACACCCTATACATCCCTATACTTGCCTATACTGTACCTGTATCTTCGACATGGCACAACATTACACAAATCATTGTCTTTTTAAGAACACCATGCTGTTACAGTCTCTTTTTCCCTGAGAAGGCGGAAACCGGCAAATTGTGTAGTAGCGAAGTGAGGTGCAGAGTGGAGTTTCAATGACGATCCAGTGCCACCAGTGCTGGTGCTTTCGAGCGAGCAGGACGTAATCCAATATCAATGAAAGATGAAAGGCCACAAAGAACAGGAATATCATGGAATATCCGTGTTCAGGTCTTCCAGCGTGTATTTGGACCTTTAGGGCACACCCAGGGTGCACAGACCATTGCACCGACCATTGCCAGGCGTCCCTTCTTCATCAACTACCTGGCAAACGTATTGTTTTGTTTTTCCATTGATCATAAGGAGGTTCTCATCTTCTCAAAGCCGGGCGAAGTACCTCAGGAAGACAAAGGATTTAAAAGCAAAAAAATACCAGGGCCCCTGGTTTGGGGCGGTTCACAGACACCCAGGAAAACCTCCAAGGAGCTGTGGTAGTCAAACACCCCTTAGAGGGCTCTGGTAATGACTACACCTGTCTCTCTCTCCTTGGCTCATGGGTCGGGATTCCGACACCTGCTTCGGACCGGCGCGGCTCGTGGCGCAGAAGCGACCTCCTCGGCCTCCCTTGCCGTTACCACCGAAGGAGCGCTTACCGGTGGGGGATCCCGAGGTAGAGTGTTTCTAAGCCATGTGTTGAGCCATGTGTGCCCTTGTGAGGCGGATGAAGAGGGCGGGGGAAGTGGATGAACATGGAGGTTAATCACCACAGAACCCCCCCACCATTCAAGATTCAAGAGATCTCTTTTTTGGTGGGGGAGGAACACAGGTTCTTTCATGCATATGGCATCATGGCAGGCCAACTTTTGCAGAAAACACTGAAATATGGGGTCTACTGAGATGGGATGGTTTGGGCGGTGAATCTTGGTAAGAAGATACAGTGATCAGCTTGAGAAATCCCAGTTGTCCTGCCCCACATCCATCTCTAGCAATTCAGCAACAGCTCGTGCACGCATCACTTGATCGCGAAGCAGGACTTGGAGTGAACCAGTGCACGGGTGCCAAATTCCGCCACCTTTGAAGGATCCACTCCAGCGATGAGTGTCACCCAACCATTGGTTCTTTGAAAGATGTTGAAAGTTGAAAGGTTTTTGGTGGCTTATTTTTCATCTTCCAGGGGGGTCGTTGCCTGGCAGCTCGCCCTATTGGATGCACATCCCGGATGCTAATGGTCCTTGAGGGGGTCCTTCTTCCGTCGCAAGGTCAAGAGATCGCACCGGGAAGCTGTCAGGCCCCGGGTTCGCGCGTCTTGGTCAGTGACCCGTGTGGCGAGCGATCGATGATTGGATCGTACCGATGGGCAAATGCACATGCACCAGCCAAACGGATGAGTTATGAGAGGAGCAGAACATCCAGCGTTCGTCCAGTGCGACAGCTCAATTCTTTTGTTCCATTGTCGCTAGCAATCGCTTGCCCCATCAAGCCATTCGGGGCAGAAAGCTTTCCCAAATGAAGGACACGTGATACCCGACCTTCGCAGGATGCAACACTGCCATCACGTGGGTCTTTGTCTTTGTGGGTTCTATACTGCTTGGTGTTTGTAACAAGGAATACCCTCCCTCCAACAATCATGGAAGTGGATGAGATGGCCTTTGCAAAGACCTGAAATCCTCTTGGGGTTGTCCAAATTGATGTGCAGTTGCGACAGGGTCAGGAGCGAACATGCCTTGGAACGTGAAGCACATCAGCGCAGGCGAGAAGCTGGATCATGTTTTGCTGGAGCAACAGCGTGGGGATGTGTGGGGAAGTGGTTCGAGATTGCAGAGATCTGAATTTTGTGCGCATGCAAACAGTAACACATTACAAGACCATTGCCATCGCGTTGCCCTTGGCATCTTTTCACCCATGAACCAGTTGATGAACACATTTTTTCGGTCTTCACCGTGGTTTCACCATGAGTGAGTTCACCAGCAGAGGCTTGAAACGCGGATTCCGGGGAAGAAAAACGAAAAACGCGAGGCCGCAAGAGGCCAAACTTCAGCCGCTGAACCCCAAGAGCAAGGTGCAACCGACGAAACGCGACGTGTTGTGGGTTGGATGGTGGACAATGAGCCGGCTTCCGAGAAGCAGCTCAGAGTTAGGGTGTTGGAGGGTCGAACATAGACATGACGACGATGACGAATGATGACCATCTTTGACTGCATGGAAAGCTGCTAGCAGACTCATGACCAGCCAAAACAGATCAAGAGCTCTTCAGCATGGACTCGAGTTTAATGTCCAGACTAAAGAGGAATATTAGTGGCTCGTGTGCAGCATAGTTCTGAGATCCGTTTAAACAAAACCACCCCAAAACAGAGAAAATCAAAAAGGGAGAGGAATTAAAAAAGGCTTCTCAAGCGATCTCTACCTCTGAGCGCAGTACCAACCTCGCTTTGTTTCTTTGTTCTTTACGGGCCCCACTGGTCGAGTTCGGTTGAAAAGATCCAAGAAGTGCTTGCTGGAGGAACTGAGCCACACCACATCACACCATGCCGGCACCACAGACCGGAAGTGCTTCCATCTGAAGCATCAACCCAAGTGCAGCGCACCAGATTCCCATGTGGAAGGGACCCCTCTTTCAAAGCTCTTGTGGCACCTCTGGTGGCACGCTTGGAGTTCCATGGGTGAATCCTTCGCCAGCCAGGCCTATGGGCCCTCCCTGAGAGATGAGCTCCGCGTTCGCGATGAGCTAGGCGCGCTACGTACGCGCGCGCTCTCGTGTGGACCGGGCTCCATGTATTCCAGCAAGGAGGCCAACCCATGCCAACCAAAAGGTCCAATCCTGGTCAGCAGACAGTCAACAGCTCCTGGTCAACGCGCGTGAAACGCGTTTGGCCTGGTCAATGATGTGTTTGAAAGGAACTCAAGCTTCCACCAGCTCATAGGAGATACACTCCCGAACACTAACACACCCTCAGTCCGACTGTTTTCCTCTATAGCTGGTTTTCAGTGGTTTTCAGGAGTGTTCAGCGGGGTCCACCGGGAATGCCTGGAACACCTGAAACCCTGTGGACAGCGCTCGCTCGCCGCAGCGCGCGCAGCGCTGAAGCTCGCTCCACCTAGGAAAGCTGCTCTCGTGCGAGATGAAGTGACCGTCAGCGTGACTCGGCAGGTGAACTCGGCGGTGGACTCGGGACTCGGCAGTGACTAGGCTGAGCTGCCCGCTATAGCGCCTAGTAATTAGTACCTAGCAGTAGCAAGTGCCTATAGTGGTACGTGCAAAAGTCCGCGGCCTGGTACTTCACTAGAGAGATCCTGGTGGGATCCCACCGATATGAAACAGGGGGAACGATGCTGTGAGAATTCATGGGTTTTCGGGGTTTTGTACCTCCGAATCCACAGGCAGAATCGTGGCTTCCTGTCCGTACTGGTTTGATCACAGACAGCGACATCACTTGAGGATCCATTAGGTCCAGATCGGGTTCTGGCTGCTTGTTCCATTCACCAGCACATGCAGAGCTCCTGGGTCCATTAAGTTGATAGTCCTGATCAGCAGATCACCCATGTGATCGGAGGGCAGAGGTGAGCTCAGGTGGGCTTGGCTTGAGTGGTCCGTGACTGTGAGGCCTTCAGATTCTGAGATGAGCTGTTTCAATCAGTCTGAGCGATCGCGATGTCCCTGTCTCAGAGGGTATTCCAGGGGCGCCCAAAACCATCAAGCGTCTTGAAAGTACGGGGTCATGACATGTGTCATGACTCATGACGTATAGAACCATCTAAAAATATTTCGAACAGGACGAACCAAAAAGAATGCACCAAATGCGATTTTCCAGGTTTTTGGGAGCCGTTGGGCATGCTCCAACAGCGTAGGGTCGCGGCTCCGCAGCGTAGGTCCTTGGACTTTGGATTTCCAGGCCCTGCCGGGGGCTACGTAGGTCGCTATTTCCGGTCAATGAACCACAGATGTCCCGCCATGGTCGTGATCTCAATGATATGAAGACACAAGACCCATGGGCAACTGACTTTAGGTTAATGTTTATATTGCTAAGCTGCTAAGACTTCAGATTCCATTATTGGGAGTGAATTTTGGGTTCAGGTTGCCTCATACTATCGACATATCAATACAATCAAATCCAGTTTACTTGTGTTGGCAGTTTCTTGGTGACTTTCTTTCAGAAAAGATCAGAAAAGGCATATTGAACCACCCGTATTTTGAGATGTTTCACATCAACGCAAAAAGGTCAAATCTCTCCGTGTAGCCTGAATTGCGAACGAATCGGTTGATTCATGGCGATGTCGGGCGAGACTTGAATTATATTAGAATCATTTTCGTCGGGCTCTGATTCAAGTCGCTGCCAAAGCAAGGATGAGTCAGAGGCTGCTCTTAGTGACCGGCATATCTCTCAGAGAGAGGCCAGTCTCACTGCTTTGTATCCTAGGCATTAGAGAAGAAAAGGTATACCGGCATCACCAGCGCTTGGAATTTGCTGGGATCATCAGCTCAAGGATGGTTCGAAGCTTGAAGCTTGCACTTCTGAATTGGCTGAGGGGCAAAGGCTCCGGACAACACATCACGTCGGTCGGTGAACCAAGGTCTCCGGGCTTTGACCCACCAAGTACGAAGGGATTCACTCTATTCTCCTTCGGGTCACCCTCACCCTCACCCGCTGCATCAAAGCGATTGGCTTCGGAAATGGAACGTCTTGAGGGAGGGGCCCTCCAACAGGTGACGTAGCTGCCCGCTTGATCTGTGCATCTCCATTTCAGCCACGGTTTCCAAGAACCTGTCGAGTCGGGTTGTGGCATGTCGCATGGACCTTGTGTCTTAGGTCGAGGGCCAGGACCTCATGTGGCTCCTCCTTGTCTTGGTCTAAACGCTCGCAGTGGCGTTCGCTTCACCTCACGGCTGCAAGAGTTCTGGTAGATCAAAGCCTCCGGAGTTGCCACAGCGTATATGTACCGCAACTTGCGTGTGTCTCCAATCTTGGGCCTTATGTAAATCAAACCCCTTATGTCACGAGAGCTTTAATGCATTTCTTGATACTATAACGATTACTATAGAGAGAAACATGAGGCTTGGAGTTGCCAACACGTCGTTAGGCAAGAGATTTGTTTTTTCACGCTTGCTCCAAGCCGAGCCAGGCTCGAGTTGATCAATGAAACATGTGGCCACACAGGGTGAGCGAAGATGTCCAAACTGTACGTGATGAGAGAAAGCTGCAGCTCGAACTCTCCGATGTGCAGATAATAGATTATATACTAGCACCCCACGGGCCCGTGGTCATAGCCTGCAAACCTAGAAGGAGAAGAACAGACCGCAGAGAAAGGAAGGTCCAAAACAATCGGAAGGAGAAGGGCAAACGCACCAGAACATACCAGAACAATACGGCCAAATGATTGTTGCCCATGCTCGTCCAGCGCACGGTCGGTGCTATAGATGCATATAGATGCGGCTAGCAAACACATCAAATCTGCACATCTGCCAAGCAAAGAAGTCGAACGCCAAAACCAAACTGCAGCAAACCTCAAATCCAGCAACCGTGTGTTCCAAGAATTGGTCCACTCCACGTCCGCTGGACCGAATCGGAAAGGTTCAGTCGAATGAAAGATCGTATAAAAAGCCTCTAAAAACACCCTTTGAGTTCACATAAAAATGATGATCATTCTATATATGGTTCCCCCAAAAAGATCATCAATCAAGGCAGCCATTGGTGCCCACACACTTCCGACGTCCAAACTTCCACTTGCAAACACATCAAAAACGCTCCTTTTTTCGGTCAAAGACGTCCTTCTCTGAAAACGACGTCCACTTTGTTCTCCCATGGCGGAGTCTGAGTCCCGCTTTCTGCATGGCGCTGGCATGTGGTCCTGTTGTGCGGAAGCTCCCGACGCATGGCTGCACTCCACGGGGCGATTGGGACGCACGAGGGTCGAGTCACCTGCCAGAGGGTTGAGTCACCTCACCTTAGGTGTTCGAATCCCTTGCGTTTGTTGGTTTCCGCTAATTGGGTACATGGCCACAAAACTTCCCCCAGCCGTAGATGTGTAAAACCTCTTGACTCTTGACTCTTCAGGCTCGCTTGTGGGGGTTGAAATTGAGAATTGAGAGACAGTAATCGAGACCTTCACACTGCCTGAGATCATCATGGAAGTGGACAACCGCCACGGACTCCGCCACTGGTGTGGTTTTTGGATTTCATGGCCATCCGAACTTGGGGCCGTTGATGGCCGTTTGCCATCCACGTCACGGATTCGTGTATCTGATGTATCTACCCGTCCCATCCAGTGGATGCGACATGATGTCCCTGTACCCCCCTCCAAGTGCGGCGACATGGAACTATACATTCGGTCTAGGAGTCTAGTAGTGGTCCCCAAATAGATAGTGGCACGGTGATACCACCGTAGGGCTCCTGGCCGCCCCCTCCGTTTCGAAGATGGTTATGGTGGGTGCCAGGGGGGCCTAACCGAAACACCTGAGGGTATGGTTGGAGCCCTAGGGCCTGTTCTACATGGGGACCTACCTGTTCTATCTATTTGGGGTGTCTATCTTGTCCCTCTCAAAGTCTGCTTGGGTCCCAAGCAGAACCCACCGTTCCGACGAGATCGTCAACCAACATGGAAGTGAAACATGGCCCCCCTTGAAAATAGGTGGTCTCTCTGCAAACTGGCTGTATCCCACTTTCCATGATCAGGGAAGGTTTTAGGTATGACAGGTATGTAAGACTCGATCGTGCAGTTAATTACGGCCACTATCATTAGGCAATTTAGGGAACACCAGGGATCGATCATTTTTCTCGATCTATTTGAGGATCACATCAAGATCCAGGACTCCTGGGCCTGACCAATCAGGAAACAGAAGTCCCAGGATGTCCCCCTGTGAATCCTCCAAGGTCCAAAAGACCAGTGCTGTGCAGTCGGGAGAGCTCATGCATTCATGGATCGAGTTTTACACACTGCATCCACCAGGAAGCTACAGTAAACCAACATCCTCATCACAACTCATCACCACTGAACTATAGTCCACCAGCATCCATTCCGTCCTTTTCGCGCCCGTGCAGTGTGCCACCCGCTCTCGGCTCAGGATGGTAGCATCTACTGCCTGCCGGGCAACGCCCGTCGGATCCTGCGCTTCACCGACGAGCTGGAGCTTTGGGGTCCAGACCTGGGAGAAGAGACCTGGAAATGGACGGCACCCTGGCGAAATGGACTCCAGGTGGCAGGCACGCGGACCATCGAAAAGGACTCCTTCCGAGAGTCCCATGACATTTGGTGCTTCCTTTTGGCCCAGATCTGCCTTGTATCCTTCTAGATTCTTCTATACATGCATGACATGTTTTGCTGATGGAAACTGCCCCGATCTCGCCCCGAGGTCGCCATCCTCGGCTCAGACGGCTCCATTTGGGGCATCCCAGGTGCCATGGACTGGGGGGGCCTGGGGGGGTCTCCATCTGCTATGGGATACAGTGGTTTCAGAGTAGATGGCACTGGCGCCCAAAGATGTTTTTTACATGGGGTCCTAATAAACCCACCGACATTGGGGAGTGTGATGGATTGTGGCATCGAACCTGTGAAACCATTGTATAATATTGGAATATAGTGGAATCGATACCAAAAACACCTGGTGAGTCATCACCTTCCAAAAGACCATTTGGGTACTGTATGGTACGGTACTTGAGAGATCATGACGATCTCTTGGATGGCCCTCTTCTCAGTGAGAGGGTTCACTTCAGTAGCGAAACCAGCACACAACATTATAGCTAGCTCTTGGGCTCACCTTTTGGATGGTCGTGCACAATGACTGCAGGATGCAGGATGCAGGTTCGTGGATCTCAGGGCATAGGATGCAGGATCCTGTCTAAAGATCAGGTCTGAGTCATGGTCCTTGTAGAGTCTCTCTGATTCATCCAAGATGGCGGTCCTAGCAGTCCTGCATGGTCGTACTGTCGTACTCTTTGAATTCTTCGTCACGGTCAGGTAACCTTCCCTAGGGCTCCAGTCGTACCTCCTCAGAAGGTATGACTGGACCTTCCAAACCCACCCCAAACACCTTCTCGAAAGGTACTTGGAGCCCTAGGGCTTCTTTGTTATTTTCTTTTAAAACTTTCTTCTTCCCTCTTCCGTTTCGTCCCGTGCTGGCCGAGGAAATGAAACACGTGTCCTTTGCATCACTGCGGATGGGCGAGTGGAATTTGCCGCTTGGAGCGAGACATCGACTGGGCGAGACATCGACTGGGAGCGCTGAGTCAGAGAGATGCAGTTACCGTGGGTTGAGAGTAGATGGCACTGGCACCCCAAGATGTCTTTTATATAGGGGTCCATATAAACCACCGAACTTGGGGATTGTGCCATCTACTCTCAACCCCCGAAAAAAGTGATGCAGTGAGCATTTGGGAGACTCAGTTCGAGACCCCCCCCTGCATGGTCTGGCTGTTTGAATGGGTATGGCGCCAAGCGCGCCACCTGACTCACCTGACATGTAACACATGTGACTTCGGTTCCGTGGAACATAGTGGAACATTCACCACTCCAAGCTACTCAGACCTGTCCTTCCAGTCCCCAAGGCCCTTAGTAGGTTTTGCTTCAATGCCAATCCTCCAACCCAGGTGGGGCCACCCCTGGAGGGGCAGCAGAAATGGCACGCGGCCCTCCTGGCGCCCGATGGGTGTCGCCCGACGGGCACCGATGGGTGGTGGGGCCAGGGGTTCTCCATTGGTCGAACGCCAGAAAGGTTAAACAGATCTAGGTAGTGACCAAGAGTACTTAGAAGGAAATTTGTAGATCTACAAAGGTTGGCTCAACCCAAGATCTACACTACGGGTTGGAAGACCACAGCGCCTACAAGACGAGAACGTCCACTTTGTTCAGTCACTTCAACGAAGGCATGTAAATGCCACTGGAATCCTTTGGACATAGCCGCGTGAAGACATCGTTTGCGTATGTTTGATTTGTCAGCCGCTCAGATGATGTCGAATACAGCAGCCTGCTCAGCGGCCTTGAGGTATCTATGCCCCACCTTGCGATGCCGGTCAGGTCCTACGTGCCATGGCGAGGATGCTGTGTGTTTGCCCTCAGACGACGAATCAGGAGACCCCAAACTACTGCAACTATACATTGGGTGTGTATTTAAAGTTTAAAGATGTTATTTAAAGATTATCCGGCAAGAGACCCCAAACAGTGTGTGTAGAGATCCAACGTCTAGAGGTGTAGAAGCACAAACTCTAGAGATCTAAACGCCTAGACATCCAGAGAGATCTAGAGGTCTAGAGCTCTTGAGATCCAGAGATGAATTGAGATCCAGAGATGAAGCCCTCGAAACCTTCGAAATGCATTTTGCCTGCGCAGGCTCGCAGAAATTGGTAGGATGGCGCGGGTGCCTTCTTCGACTGCGCTCTCGTTGTGGTGCCGTGCACATTTTCGAATTTGGTGGTCACTGCCCGTGGTGTGCAAAGGTGGTGATCCAAAGCCGTGGTGGTCCAAAGCCGACTTTTCGTGGCAGGCGCAGGAGATTGGAGCGTTTTACTTCATTGTGCAGACTTCGTGGGAGGCGCAGCGCTTTGTGAACCTCGAAGTGCAGTGATTAACGAACTGCAGATTTCCTAGCAAGCGCAGCACTTTCTGAACCTTGAAATGCAGATTTCGTGACAGGCGCAGCACTTTGCGAATTTCCTGGCTGGCGCAACACCGTGTAGATATTGCGCTTCATAATGCTCTCAAAACTTTCCAGACCACTCCACAGCCTCCACATCTCTAGACATCTCCCTCCCTCTCTCTACCTTTAGTTCTAGAACATCGGGATTTCAGACCTCAAACCTAGGGTTGTGATATCTCTCGACATCAAGACCTCTAGATCTCTCCATCTCCAGAATTCTTTGCATCTAAGACTTCTAGAGCCTAGACCTCTACATCCGACCTCTAAACTCTTTGGATCTAGCCCTCCCTGCATCTCGACCCCTATGTTTTCTAGGCGTTACACCTAGAGTTGTTGGATCTCAAGAGCTCTAGACCTCTAGATGTCTACTAGCTCCAAGACCTAGACCTGTAGATCTGTAGACCTCTGAAACTGTAGATATGTGTAGATCTCGGTGGTCGCCGTATCATTAAAAAACAAAATCAAAATCCATATATCTCTGAATGAACATACGGTAAATATATAACACAACACGTTAGCGCGAGTTAGCCGCGTACGCCGAGTGGGCACCTCGATCAGACACCTGGCCTTCACTCTTGCCATGAAAGCCCCTAGTGTGACCACATTGTTTGGGGAACATAAAAGTGAGATCTAGACCCAAACACTCCTTGGAAAAAGGAACCTGTTGGTGGGCCGGGAATTTCCCTAGCAGGTCCCATCGACTGGGTCTTCGCATATCATCCCCAGGTCTGTTTTGTCATCCAGCAGCACGAACTGAAGCCAAAATCATCAATGCTTGATTCAGGTTATTTGGTAGTCCAGTCCCGTCAAAAAAATTGGATCACTCAAAGACTGCTGGCGCACCGATTGCAACATGTAGGAACGTAGAGAGACTTCGGTTCAGGAAGAGAAGAGTTGTCGCTTGCAGGTTTTAGAGGAGAGTTGTTTCCCTTGGCCATGTGCTATATGAGGGAAGAATTGAATTGTTCTTACAATGGGCAGCCAGTTTCCAAACGGAGCAGGCTTTTACTTGAGTCACTGCTTTGCAACCAGCCAGCGGATATAAAGATTTATCCCGATTCAATTGAAATGCATTGAAATGGCCTCATTTGACCTGTTGTTCGATCAGTTCACGAGGAAAACCATTGAAGTGAGGCAACAACTTTCATCCCCCTGGCTGCACATCTCAGGCATCGACTGCGCCAACCACGCGGTGAGCCTGATTGGTCCAGTGATGGGCGGAGTGGGGAAGTACTGCTCCTGTGCGCTGGCCGATGGGTGCCTTGGCGCTAGCTCGACCGGTGGTTGATGAGAGGGTGTGATTTGATTCTCCAACAGATCGACATAGGTGGATCATGGTAAATCTCTTCTTGCGGTGAGAAACTGTCAAGTCACTTTTTTAGCGGCAGCAGTTCAAGGGGAATGCAACTTGCAAGAATCCTTCGAAGAGTTTGAAGCAAGAATTCGTGGTCGTTTGTCCACTCAAGCGATTCAGAGACACTGAAACCCAGAAGAAGTCAACACTTCTTATTCACTGAAAACACTGTAACCCCTCTCCACACCCCTGCATACTTGACCGTAAAAAAAAAAGGAGCAGATCCGCCATCAAAGCAGGATTTGCTGTTCGGAACAGATCAGAAACTGCAAAGCACAAGGATCGGATCAACGAAATTACACAGCGCAATTACAGTGGTTCCAGAGTAGATGGAGTAGTAGATGGCAAAAACCCAAAGATGTCGTTTAGATGTTTATATGGGGGTCTTATTTATAGACAGACCATCTTTTGGAAACAGCTTCAGAACTTCAGGTGCCTTAAATGCGATCATTTTGAGAGGCCCCAAACATGGCTGAACTCTTTCATGAAGGAATCCCTCAGACAAGCCATGGGCAAGAAGAGTCCTCTACAAGCTTTATTGTGTTATTTTCCCGGGATGGATTTGGTGCATAGAAAGCAGTCTGTCAGTCTGTATGTAGTAACCCACCAGACTCTTTGTGCCTCGCCGTCCCGTCGTTCTTCGTTTCGCTGCGCGCAGCGAAGCGCGCGCCAAGCGAGGTATATCTACTGCCCGCCGAACCACGCGGCGCAGGTGCTGCGCATCGCGGTCGGCAGCCGACGCTTTCAGCTCGTGGACACCATAGGCGGGCAGGTGTTCTTGGGCTGCAGAGTGACAAATTCTGTTGCCAAGTCACGAAAGCTAGCACCAGCTAGCTGGAGTTGTCCTTGCTTTAGCAAGTGAGTTGCCAAGTTCCAAATTCCCAGATATTTCTGTAAGAATCATGTCACCTGGGACCTGGACCAGACCTTGGGGAAGGTTTTTCACAAATCTTGGGCACTAGTTGTCATGGCTGCAATTTGGACAGGCAATACAACTAGTTGTCATTGATGAAAGCTACGTTCTTTCCATAGTACCCAGATACTCCATGTAGGGAACATTTAGCTGCATTGGGGCAGTTTAGTTTCAGGGGTCAATGTGCATATGTATGCAGCTGCATATGTATATACATGATATAGTCCACACACTCCAGAGTGTTTGCTGTAGCTATACAATTTTTTCATAGTCCGTGCTAGTATGTGCTAGCAGGAAGCTCCACTCCACTCATCAGATCACTCAGATCACCCCACTCCACCACTGACCACTGTGCCGCACCGCCAGGGCCTGACTTGCGCTTCGGCGGCGGGGGCGGCTACGTGTGCTGCGCCACCAGCTCTGACGGGCGAAGCGTCTACTGCCCGCCCTTCAGCGCACGTCACACCATTTGTATCTGTGCCCTGGCTTTCCTTCCAAAAGGGCGATGTTTTTGTTTGATTGCGCAAGGATCATAATTCTCGGAATGCAGATCCCAGACACTTTATGGATTATACCATATACGCCATATATATATATACTTTAACTTATACAACAAAGGAAACCCCCATGTTGCCAGGTATATGGAGTATCTGGCCTTTGGTGAGCAAACTGGAGCGGTTCACTTAAGATGTGCATGTTTTGATGCGCCAACACGCCTTTGACGTGCCGGCACATGTCTTGTTGGACCTCAAACAGTTCTTTGTTTCCCGGGTTCGTCCAACGTAAGAGACGTGTTTCTGGGCCAAAGGCTGCGCTGTGATAGAGGAATTTTGCTGAAATTCAATCAAAATTAACTCAAAAGTGTCAGAAACGGATGGGAACTCCTTGTTGATCGCACGTTTTTGAGGTTTCTGATAGGAGCTCTCAGCAAGGAACCCGAAGCTGCAACCTACGACATGGGCCTCTGAAGAGTATCCCTGGTCACAGAGTCAGTCACCGGGCGTCACCATGGTCACTAGTCTCTTCATTTGTTAGGGTGTGAAAGAACGAATGTAAGCAATGTTTCTGACTAGTACGCACTTGTAGCAGCAATTTTTGAACACTGGGGGGGATTCTCCAACTTTCAGAAGATTGCTCCTGTCTCTTCGAAACGGAACTCCCAATGTGTCTACCCCTTCAGGATGCACATACCTTTTGAGAAGGTGCTTGGGGATCAAAAACACATCGGCTTCAAAGGTCTGCCAGGACACATCAGGACTTTCTGAGCTGGTTGGGATCACTTTTTTTGGATCCAAGAAGAATCCTGCTGCTCGCTGGTAGCAGCTCCCAGCTAGGTATCCACTTTCTCCCATCCATGGGCGAAGCTCCCCGTCACTGGCCCCTAGCGCGCACCAAACCATTCGCGCTTACGCTGCGCGACGTGCTCCGCGGTGAGGCGACGGGCGCGTGGAGCTGGTGGGAGAGACGCCAGAGACGATGGCACATCAGTGGCGAAGCGCTTTGAGGGCCCGAGATGGCTGTGGCCTGGCGTGTGTCTGAAAGGCCATATGCGGAAAGTACGTTATATATATATATATATATATATATATATGGTGAACCGGGGCGAAAGCCTAAGGGGGGGTCAACGGATAGCCCGAATCACCTCTAAGGAGCCATAATTAGACACCCCTCAGGGGGCCCTGGTATTTCCATTTGGTTGCGTGCTGGCAACCATTTCTTGTCTCCCATCATGTCCGTTTCAATCTTCGCATGTCACGTTTCTTTTTGGTTTTCATCTTGGATGACTGGGGTCCCTCGAATCTAGCCTGGAAAAAGGCCATGGTTTCAGGCCACTTGTGGACAACAGCTTGGCCAGCTGAATCGATCGGATGAACAGGACCCCGCCTTGGTCGCACCTGTGTTTCGACCCACCACATGGCCAGGAGATGGCCCATGGCCAGCGAGGGAGAGTCGTCCCGGTACGGTGATAGAACCTCAGGCCATGTGAGAGGCAACAGAAACATGCAGAAACTCAGTCCGTCACCTACTCAGATCCTCCCATTCTGTCTCATATCCCATCACCCTGCTTGGGTCGCCACACAGGTAGCCTTCGGAGGTGTGGAGAGTGTGCAATGCGGTGGGAAATCAGTTGGACCACGGACTCTTCGTCGGACTCTCCAGATGTCTGCTTAGTGCTTTGAGTTTTCGATGATGGATTCGATTGCATGGACGTCTGATACCTCGGCTGCCTCCGCCCTCGGTTCTGGTTCACACATCGAGGTATCTATGCGATCCCCTGCAATGCCAGCAGGCCAGGGCTGGGTGGACAAAAAATTCGGACCCTAGCAGCTAGGCAAAGAGATTATTTGACGGCCGACCAGGCCGACCACGCTTTCCTTCCCACGAAGACCAGACCGAGGGAAGCGTCGTCCCTGTGGTCATCAAAGGACCTCGAAGGACCGACTGGGGACCAAGCCTGAAGACGTTGGCTATAGCTATAGCCGATATATATATATATATAGTCTATGGTCGTCGATGTTCCTGGGTAAATGGATTCGAGCTAGGGATGTTTGACACTTGTTTCCGGTTCCTGAGGCAAATCCAAGCAGATTTTTTTTCGGTGGGGGCCCTACCCATTTCAGATCATCTGCGAGGTTTTCATGTAGAGGCATGATGAGGCATGTGGGTGTGTCGTTATAGACCCATGGGTTTTGAATGGTTTTGAGTCTAGTCTATTTCCCTTATTGCGGGGGGGTCGTTGCCTGGGAGGTCTCCCTCTTTAGCAGAGAGGTCGATACACCAGCTCCACCAGAGGTTGAAACAAAAAGTACAGGAGGGATCATCGTTCGAACTCTCAAGCTTCCTTTCTGGTTCCAGAACTCAACCCCTTGTTCTGGATCCCGGACTGAGTCCCGGATGCTCCCTTCACGCCATTCCCCCTCCACCTCCCAATGAGACCTGATGCGGTTATGGGTACGACCAGGGGTGTGAATAAGTCTATTCAGATCCATGCGTCGATCCATCCGTCCTCCGCGCCCCAGCCCTCCGTGCAGCCTCCGCGCCCCGCGTCCCTGGCGTCCCACGCGCCCCGGAGCTGCCGCGCTTCGCAGGGTGCTGAAGGTGGACCAGCAGGGCGTCCTGCGGCTAGTGGGCCCTGAATGGCCCAGCGCGCCGGCGCCCGAGGGACTCGAGAAGTGGCGAGGCGGCGTGGAGCTCGGAGGCCCTGCAGCTCGGTCGGGGGGGGTTGGAAGCAGTGGGAGGAAGATAATGAAAATTTTATATGGTACTCAAGCACGCGCATTTGGTTCATGGATGTCATTTGAACGGTTATAGTTTAAATGGTGTTTGCACGGTTTGCCTTTTCTGTAGATCGTTCAAGGGGATTTCATGAGTTTCTGTTTATGGGGCGTTTACTTGGGTTTGGTCTTGGTCGTCCAAAGCCCTGACAAACTGCGGGCGATGTCTCTATTTCTTCTCAAGGATTGGCCCAAATGCCACAGCAAGAGTGAGCGATCACACTTTCGACACGTAACGTGTCATTATGTATATACTGTAACTATCTGTAACTTGGACCCTGCAACCTATGACATGGTTTCTTGGATGCCCAACGGCTGTTGCTTCCAAACCCTGACTACTAGGTGTGAGAATTCACACTAGGCAGGGAACCCAGAAACCTTGGGACATGTTAGAAATCCAAATCGATGTTCAAAAACACATGATGTGACATTTCATGTGAGGGTCATGCTTGCATCATTTGCTACCTGGAGCCTGAGTGACCCCTGTTTTGGAGGATCAACTATCCAACATATGATATGGTCTTTTCCTATCAAAACAGAGGTCAGTCAGGCTCTAGGTATATACATACGTATATATATGTCTGATCAAAAATTACAAATGCTGTGAGTTGGTGGTTCGTGCCGCGTGTCTTGGGGTTCGCAAAGGGACCACTGTATTGTAAGGTCATATTATAATATATACAGCGGAAAGAAGAAACCGTTTCTCAAACCAGGACCCACCAGGGGTGACTGGACATCCCTTAACCCGACCCAGACAGTGGATCATCACGTATATGACCTTCAACCCTTTTGGGGGGGATTTGTTTCCCCAAGGGAAACTGTGGAACGAAACTTACCAAGACCCCGTGTCTATTCACACCGCTTCGCGGGCTTCTGCCGCCCGCACAGATCAAAGGGAACATGTATCATTAGCACCCCCACGAGGATACGGGCCCGTCGGCGCAACGGATGGTCGGTCCAGAACCGCCAACCTGTCCACCGGATCAGTCACGTTTTTCCTTGAGAAGAAACTTCTGTCGGACAGCCTACCTGGACGAACGTTTGCGATGTCGATAACGCAGTCTTCCCCGGAGGGCATATTTGGCATCGCGAACATTTTGTCCGAAGCCATATCATGTTTATCAATGCTCAAACAAAGAAGGGCCCCCCCAAGCTAACGCTTAGGAGAATCCAGCAACATTCTTGCGGTTTACGCAAAGCCTTCACAAGGCCGCGGCACCTTCAGTGCGGGCGGATTTATAGGCCCTTAACTGTGAACCACCCCTTGGGGCCTTGGGGTCCTGGTTTAAGTAAAAATCATTTTCCAGCACAACTGAAGGAGTCATAGACACACCTATGGGGGGAGAGGGAGGGCCCTTCCCGTCGCACGGCGCCAAGCAACACACCCCGGCGCCGGCCAGACTCCATCTATGGTATCCCTTCGCACGCCAAGCAGGGCCCTCAGCACATGGAACCACATGGTTTGGTTCTCAGCTGGAAGATGAGTGACACACAAACAAAAGATACCATATGGCTACGACATGGTACAACTACCAAATCCCACATGTTGACTCCTTATATCCCAAACCATACCCAAACCCATCAAACAGGAATGCATTAACAAAAACCGTGTTCACAACATCTTCAGATGCCAACGGACAGGACCCAGTACACACCCGGGACACACTGCAAAAAACGCATCAGCACTGCAATTACGGCAATAAATCAACATACACCTGGAAAATCCTGGAAACATGTTTGCACCTCCAAAAAAAACCACAGACCCACCCCACGCAGAGTTTGCTGTGGACACCGCTGCAGAGCTGCGGTTTCTTCCAAGTTTCTTCAGCACATTTCCACATTCAGACCCGTCCCAGGCAGATCTTGCGGATCAAGACAGGTGACGAGGCTTTGTCCTCACCCAGCTTCGAGCAGCTGCAAGCGGAGCAGCAGCGCGCCGAGCTTGACGCGGAGAGACCCACCCGACCGCGCGTTGTAGCAGTTCGGCGTGTAGCAGCGACCGGCGCACGGGGTGTGCGGCCGAACTGGGGCAGACACGGTAGCACTGGTTGCGCACTCAGCAGTTCACCCAGACCTCCAGAGACCTCCCGGTGTTGGTTTTTCAATAATGGAGATTCGATTCGTGTCTCTGGAAACTAAGCCAACATCCAGTAGGAATACATGGAATACCAAAACAATAAGATACATGATAAGCCCAAGTCGTGGCGGTCCATTCTTTACGGGTTCTGTTGCGTGAGAACGAGGAGAAGGACATGAGGCATTAAAAAAAGAGAAGTGTTTGCTTCGAGTGTCACTAGTTTGGCATTCGGGTACGTGGATCATGCATTCAAGAGTGGATCATTCGGTTTCGTGGCACCTTCGTTCACCTCTTGCATCCCCAAGAGATGCTAGCCCCCAGGGTCGGACCGACCAAGGAGCCAGAGGATGTTGTGGTGAGGACCATGTGGAACGTCCTTCCTTAAGCCCGTCCGGGGGAGGCTTCTCCCGGGTCCCGGCGGCCCCGCTCGGTCCGTCGCGCCTGGGCGTGAGGAGAAGAACCTCAAGCCAGTGGAGGGACAGGAGGCGCACGAGTCCTCCGAGCGAAGGAGCCCGGTGAGCGTACTGTGCCACGCGGTTTGTTCTTGGGACTACTATAGGTCAATCATGTTAAAGGACCGCTGGAAGGCGGGTGTGATCAGGAGGCTCCACCCCCCTCTCCCAAGGGTGGTGATAATATGTGATAATATATATAAATTTATAGAGTTCTCGAGAGAAGCAAGTGGAGAATCAATTGGGGCAGTCGGGGTCAGATGTGTCATTCTGTTCAAAGTTGGATCCACAGGTGCTCAGGTGCTTGGACATGTGAGACACACCATGTCCACCATGTTCCCAGATGACGGCCGCGGCTCAGGCGCCCAGCTCGATGGAAGAGGAGGAGGAGGACGGAGACCCACATCCGTAGGTGGACCTGCTGCAAGAACCTGGGGGGGGTTGGTGATTGGTGTCCCACTCAAAAAGCAAAAAGGTGGACAGTTCGGGCGGCCTTCATTTCCGCAGCTGAGGGAGTCAAGATCGCCTTCAAAATCGGCATAGACGAGGACCCAACCATCTTGCAATGGCTAACAGCTAACAGTTACAGTCCCTGAAATAATCATAATATACTGTAAACGGAAGCTATGCCCATGGAAGACCAAGCCAGGCAGGTGGGTTTTCTACTTCCAACCAATGACCCGGAGAGCAATGGATAATGGTACCTCTAAGCGCACGCCTGGGGAGATGAGGGATGCCCAAGTCAGACAATGTCAGACAGCCGAAACACACCCAAAAAGACGCGCCGAACTCCTGATCGAACAGGACTTTGACAGTGAGATTGAAGATGTGGAAGATTGGCCCCTGGAGGAAGCAGGGAATTTGGGGTTCAAGTGGTCAGCTGTGGGGTCCCGACGATTGTCACATGGACAGCTCAAATCGTCGAAGAAAGGAAGTGAAAGGAATGTGATAAAGCATGTTCCTACCAAGCTGGTTGCCAATTCATGCATTGCTGGAACACCACAAATTGTTATTAGCAAACACTCTTATGATATCTTATGGATCTTATGGTGTTGTTTGTCATCTGTTTGACGTGCGGCGGATATTGGTGCCTCAGCAGGGTTGACATGGCACGTGCTGTGGCCTCCATTTTGATCGGAAGCTGCTACGGGGGGTTGTAGGTCCCTGGTTCTTCAAAGTGACCTTTTGATATCCCAGTTTTAGGTCACCTGGGCCTGTAAACGGTCACTTCCAAAAAGGTCATTTTGAAGAAGCTAGTCAATATGCAAATAGACGACCGACCGACCGACTGCTGTAGGTAAAGACCGACCGACTGCTGTAGGTAAACACGCTTCTGTTTGATGGATCGCGCAGTACTGTTTGGGTCCAACGCAAACAATGTCGTTCTTGAAAGTTCTCAAACAACAAAGCAACATGTTCCTTCTCTCAACACTGCAGAAGGCACCTTCTGTCCGGTTTCTGAATGGATTGCTTCCACCCACATCGTTGGTGAGTCAACAACCCCATGAAGAACTACGCCTTCGTCACCTTCCCCTCGACCTGCCGTGACCTGTGACCTGCCGTGACCTGTGACCTGCCGTGACCTGTGACTCGAGGAGTGCGACGGCGTGTCGCTTTGGGGCCCGGTGCTTGGGCAGAAGTGGACGAGAAAGAACAAGTGGAGGTCAGTGCTGGCAGGACGTGGTCAGTGCTGCGAATCCTCTAACCCGCGGGAATTGGCGCTATTTCCTGCTGGTGAAAGGAATTTTGGAGTGGGTTCAGTCATGTGTGAAACTTGTAGACAAAACCCAGCCACGACCTGCTTGAGACGGGCATATTTACTTCCATTGTCGTGCTTGAAAAGGGGTCAATGTAGGCATACATGCCAGTCCCATCGGTCGTGTTTGGCCAACTCTAGGCCTTACAACCGATGTTCACCGAGCTTTCAAGGGCCCCAAGGACTCATCACATCGGGTTTGGGGGTTTGGAGATGAGTTCGCAGCTCCTGTGAGGACGTGGCATTCTCTTGGTTGCGCCCCCAGTTCTGGAGCGGGGTGGGACCGGGGGCCCTGGGAGGCCCTGGCGAGCCGGGCGAGGCCCTGCGATCTGGCAGGAAGGATTTGCATTCTCAGGTTGCACTTCTGGATGTTGACAGAACTAGGTACAAGATGGTACCAACATGTACCAACACTTGCTCTTAAGGCCCTTTATCTTGGATCATGGGAAGGACACGGATCAAAGAATGGCAGAGATAGCATCATCCCTACAGATGATGAGAGAGCAAAACTCTAGGAGGAGCATCCGTCCCTATTCCTGGATGGTAATGAAACTGCTTGATACACTCACAGACTGTTTACATCATTTTACATCTGTTTACATAGATCATCATAATAGATCTATATAGTTTAGGAACTTAGCTGTCTTGTCATGACCTTTGATTATGGGGGTTGTTTTTTGTTGTTTAGTGATGTTTAGTGGAGTGATTTGGCCTCGGACCTGAAAGAACATATTGTACCTTTTCAATGTACATACAGGAACCTCTTCCATGCGGTCCTCATGCGGTGGGGTCTAATCATGGAGCTTTGTGCCATGAGGTGTTTAGGGTTATTTAGGGTTATTGTGAAACCTGTCGCTTGGTGGGGCATGAGTTGAGCCTTGAACACACCGCCGCTGTTTACAGATCTTGATCCAACCTGTTTTTTACGCTTTTGGTCCGGCGAAAGACACGCGCGATCGGCTGCCGTTTGCTTCGTCGGCAGCTGTCCACAGTGGCACCGGAGCCTACCGATCCTGCGCGCTGCTCCGCAGCTTGCGTGCTGTGCGCCTTGGCGGGCGCTGCTGCTTGCTCTTGCGCCTGTGCGGGCGCTGCCTTGGCCTTTGCTTGCGCCTTGGTTCCTTGCACGACCACGAGCCCTTCGTCCCTGACCTCTTCGAGGGTGATCCCTGCGGGTTCGGCCACCTCGATTCAGGACAGAGAGAATAAGCTCCTTTGAGTTCGATAGGCCTTCGACCTTTTGGCCTGAACTAGTGTGTCACTTCATCCTGAGGATTTGGTGGCCATTCGGCCATGGCGGAGGATGACAAGAATGCCGGAGCGTGGAGCAGAGTTCCTGTTTGGGATGGAGATCCCAAGACTTGGAGGTCATTCAGAAAAGAGATGACCTGGTGGCTTGAAGCCCTCGATGTCCAGAGCACCAAGAAGTACAACCTGGCTGCAAGATGGCTGCTTCGGCAGTCAGGGATAGTGAGGCAGCGTGGAGAAGAGTTCACGCCAGCTGAGTTGGCATTTCAGCCAGCCATCATGGCTAAGGATCCTGAGACGGGCGATGACATCGAGCTGACGCCCGAGGACCCTCTTGCCGGCATAAACAAGCTCCTCAGAGCCTTGGAGACCATCAACGGCAAGACACAGCTCGACAAGAGAGGAGATCTCAGGAACTCCTTCTACTTGGAGTTGAAGTGGAAGCCCCAAGAGAGGATTTCAGAGTTTTGCACCCGCTTTCGATCGGCCATCGCTGAACTTCGCATGGAAGGTGTCACCCTTCCCACTGCAGAGCTTGGATGGTTTCTCAAGCAAAAGCTTGGTTTGGATGCCCTGAGACAACAGTTGCTCGAGACCGCATTGCAGGGCAAGGAATCCTATGAGGAAACAGAGGTTGAAGTGTTGCGCCTCTTCAGGGATTTGCACTCCGCAGACCCGCTGGCGAAGAAGACCTTTCATGGAGGAGATCAGCAACCTCGTGGACCGCCCTTGATGCAGAGGTTTTTGGCTCAGCAACGATCGCCTTCGTCTCGAGCTCCTTCCTCGTCGGCGCCCTCAGTGTCTTCGTTTGCCTCAGGCCGCTCAAGCTCGACCTATGCCTCCAGCAGGCCTTTCCAGAGGCGCCCTCCGAGTCAGCATTGACAAGCCTTTGTTGCTGACACCCACGAAGAAGAAGAGCTGGTTCTGGATGAGCCGGAGATGGAGGAGAATGGCGAGTCCCCCAACCTGGAGGAAGTGCTGCGGTCGCTGCAATGGCTTGTGGCTCAAGTTCGAGTTGACCACGGCTATGCCTTGTCTGTGTTTCAGGGCGAGATGCCCAACCTGGGAACCTTGATGAAGGCCAATGCGCTGGCAAAGCGCATGAAGGCCTATGGTAGCTTCAGTTTGAAGTTCAGGCCAATGGAGCTTGACGGAGCCGGCATCATGGTGGTCACAGACTCCAGCCTTGGCAATGTCACCAAGCAGGGTGGTGCAGACGCTCCCATGAAGGAGAAAACCTACTCACAGTCCTCCTTCTTCGTCTTGTTGGCTGACAAAGCCTTGATGAATGGGAAGGAAGGCTCATTCTGCCTTCTGGATGCACGAAGTCACCGCCTGCCAAAGGTCTGCCGGAGCACTTTCGGCGCAGAGCTCTTGGGAGCTGAAGAGGCCTTTGACGTTGGACAGTACGTCCGTGGTGTGATGGAGAACCCGCACGTTGATGCCATTTTGGATGCGGTCCCACTCACCGTTCCTAGAGGTTCATTTGCACTTAAAAACGGAGGACGTACAGGACGTATGGCCATATGACCTCCAAAAAGGCCTGTGACCATGAAATCGCCGTATGACCTCGAAACAGGCCTCCAGCGATAAAATTGCCTTACGCTGGCTACCTCCACAGCGATGCTTATAAAAATGCGTTGCGAGGAGGCAGCGAGAAAAGCGCCCGCTACAGCCCACCAGATTCTGCGAGCCTGCGCAGTCAAAATGCACGTCGAAGATCTCGAGAGGCGCGAATGTATCGTACATATATAGTTGCACTTCATGCAAATGGGTCCCGAAAAATGCAAGCGAAGGGGAATGCCTCAACTGCGTGCGATATCTGAGGAATGTCTATTTCATTCAATGGCGCAACGCTACGTAACTGAAATATTGAGATGTGGTCTTTAATTTAGCCACACACAAGTTTGATTGACCCGCCAAATCTGGCCTGTGGATAGGCGGGTGGAGCGGGGCCCGCGCAAGAGAGAGACGGTTAGATGTATATTCCGGCGAGGCTTGCGCTAGATTTCACTCATACTTTCATGAAACTCAAGAAAAAGTTTGCCGTGCGAAAGCGTGAAAAGGCCGTGAAAAAATGCTCTTGGCCATGAAAACGGCGTGCGAAACGTGAAAATGAAAAATCGCAATCTGCCTTTATCCGGCGTTTTTTTAAATGAATCGTTTAGAGTTTATTTGTGATTTCGCTTCCATAGAAGCCTTTTACTGTGTGGCGTAGAAGCCCAATAGGTGGTGGCAGCGCTGCCGTTTCATCAAAAATGTGACCCGAACATGAAAAACGTCACGTGTGCCACGGTTTGACTGGAGGTTCTGTATTTCATGATCTTTGCAACCCAAGCCCTAGCTGGAAGGAAAAAGCGCGATGAATTGCAGCTGGCTATACAGTTGGCAGCGGGGCTTCAAGAAAATCAGCTGGTGTACACATGATTGCACGGCAAAGAGAAAAAACGAGCTAACAGTGTCAAAGCCATTGGCGTGAACCGCGTGAAAATCCAGGATGGCCGCGCAAACCGTGACCGTCCAGGCCGTGGCCGTGTAACCGTGCAAATCCAGGCTGTGGCGTGTAAACCGTGTAAACCGTGCAAATCAAGGCTGTGGCCGTGAAAACAGGGTATGTCCTTGATTTTTTGAAAACTAGGTCGGGACGGCTATGTCCTTCTAAAAGGTGGTCGGATGAACCCCTAGGTTGTGACCGATGCCAAGGACACCTTCGACAAGTGCTCAAGCGACACTCCGTCGTTCGGTTCGCAGAAGTCCCTGGCTTTCACCACGACATGGATCAGGTCAATCCTGAGAAGACCCAACACGTCTCTGAGGTGGAGCGCCACTGAGAACATGTTCGTGGATGCCGGCACGAAGGAGATGGACCTGTCCCACTTGCAGGACATCCTCACCAAGGGCCGATGGAATGCTTGCTACAGCGCTAGCTTCATCAAAAAGTCCAACAAGGGTGGCAAGAAGAGCAGCTTGCTGAGCGCCGATGCAGCCGCGCCTGGTGAGAGCTTAGACCCGTCTCACGATGTTTTTCCATACCTGCACAGGCTAGGAGATGCCTCAGGATGGCATTTTGAGAAGGGCATCGCCATTCAAGTGGCTCGGAATGCCAAGTCCTACAGGTCACCTGAGCCCCGCCTTAACCCGAAACAGTACCCGACTAGGAGTAGCTATGGCCGATTCGATCATCAGTCAGGTTTTTCGGAATGGAAGATCCTCGAGGATCAGGTGCCCTACAAAGAGCTTGGCAATCCACAAGCCCCAATAGGAGCTACATGCGCGGTGTTGATCACGATCTATGCCACCATGCCTCCACCAACAAAAGAAAGGAAGCGACTGTGAAACCTGTCGCTTGGTGGGGCATGAGTTGAGCCTTGAACACACCGCCGCTGTTTACAGATCTTGATCCAACCTGTTTTTACGCTTTTGGTCCGGCGAAAGACACGCGCGATCGCTGCCGTTTGCTTCGTCGGCAGCTGTCCACAGTTATATAAGGGGTTTAAGAGTTGGTCCATCCATGCCTGTGATTTGCCCCCTGTCAGGCGTCCATCGTCCGTGGTAACCTGCCAGGGAAGACGGACACTTTCCGACGAATCGATCGGTTTTGGTGTGGCATGAGTTCTAACATCAGAACCGAGGAAGCCAAGAACTTGAGAGCGATGTTCTTTTTGGGGCGGGCAGGGCGGGCACTTCCATCCCCTCACGGAGGGGATCTCCATGAACAGGTTTCAGAAGGCCACCGTAAGTCGAATGCCCCTCAAGTGCGAATGCCCAGGCGCCACCGTACTACTGCGGACAGATGCTTTACGTGGACACCAGCCGACGCTGGGCTGAAGCAGCCTCACGCGGCAAAAAAAGCAGCATCCTCCAGGACGGAAGGTGACCTTCCCCCCCTTCCCGAAAACTGGTGGTGGTCCAGGTCCACTGCATGATGCATAATGATAAATTCTGTCATAGAAATTCATGTTAAATTCCTGATCGTTGGTCAAACCCCACAGACGGTCGCTGCAGAAGACATTGATGCGACGATCGCCCGTTTGGGTGCCCGCAGACCAACCGAACCGCTGTGACCAGCCGACCTCGGGACGTGGGACATTTGAATCAAGGCTGGTCCGGAAAACCCGACGAACAAAGGACCTGTCCTTATAAGGGGACAGCCTTGGTGGGCCGACGAATCCGTGCAGACAAGGGTTTTGTTGGTTGTTTTAAAGCAAAGAATCAGCTGTAGACAACCACTTTTTGCATTGACTATGTTTTTTATCGAACAGTGTGGCCACACTACAGTAGGGGTTCTTTGGGTAGTAGTTAAGGCCAGGTGTCGATCGGATGATTTGACCAGGTTTTGTTTAATGCCAGGGAGTTTTTACTTGAAAGAGTATGCAAGTGTGTCAGTGCCGTGTATTGTGACAAATAGTGGGCGTCACAGATGTTACCTTTGATACTGGATGTTCTTCCTTTCTGCGGCCCTAAACCAAGCTATTTGCAGCATCCCGAAACCATTCAGTTGAGACCCAAACTGCACATTGGCTGGATGCATTCCTATGCGCCAAACCTTGGCCGGCCGTGCAGGCTGGTACTGTAGACCACCCAAAGGGGTCCAAAGGCTTCCACGTCATACTCATCATTATCATCGATTTGCTTTGAAAGGAGAGGGGAGGGGAAAACCAACAGACCACTGGCCCAGAGGTATTTGTTGTTGCTTCTACCGACTGAGATGTTTTTTTGGCCGCCTGCTTGTTTTGAAGATTTGGGGAACGACATGTGGTTGTCACACAAACTTACAGTATTTGCACTTCAGATTTCATATACTCCCCACAAGACTATTGGTTCAGTTCCCAAGTGGTAGTTATCACAATAGTTACGGGTTGTTGCTTAAAAGATTATAGGATATCCAAGGATCTGGCATGAGCGGCGGTTCAACTAGTTTAGGGTCTATCCCAATACCAGTAACAGTCGGCAAAAGACTACTAACCATCATCACCCACTGTTGCTGGTAATGGGATATACCGCGCAAGGCATATGGCCGTGGGTCAAAACCAGGGAACTCTGGTTGAACACTCAACCTTAACAGAATAGACTACCTGGGAGGTCAACCTACCCTTGTTTGGGGCTGGTCTTCACCCACCATATCTTGTTTGGGGAGGAGAGCCGACCTGCGACCAATTCCCTGAGGCCGACCGACCTGCCGAAACTCCCCAGGCCCAGAGGAGGAGGCAGTGCAACTGCTCGGCGAGGCACCGCCGAAGCCTCCCAAGATCCTCGGTCAGCGAAGGGGGTGTTCGCGATGGATGGATGGTGAGATCTCAAAAGATGGAGATGCCAGAATTGAACAATAATTTTACAACAAATGGTGCGTTTTAATAGTATGATCTATGATAATGTTGTACATTCCAATTCCTAATTATCTTTGAATATGAGTTTACATCTCCATTAAGCATCGGTCCACACTGGGATGAAACATGTTATATGTGTTGGGTATATGTTGGGTCTCTCCGATTGACAGTCAGTCAGTAAACAAACAATTGACCATCATGATCCACATGATCCACTCGCGATAGGATAACCCCAACGACGAGGACGTGAAAGGCCGCGGTCCATCGATGTCAAACCATGTTGGATTCGGATTCCATGGTGTTTTTGTTGGTGTGCGAACGCTACAAAGACACCAGCCGGTTGGGCCTGATGAAGCCGTGTTGTTTCGGCCAAGTTCAAGAGAAAACCCGGTTGTAGACTGTTGATTAACAACCCCCGCATGAATTGAACATCCTCTTCCAGGACCTTCAAACGTTCAAAGTGACCTCTTTAGGGACTAAGTGACCTCATTCTATAGGATCTCAAAAGGTCACTTTGAAGGTCCTGGTTCATATTGGGTGTTTATGGTCCTCAGTCGAGTCTACATCCATCATCCATTGGTCCCGATTCGTCGAAGCCACACCCAGGAAAGTCTTCGTGCCCCTCCCCGACGAGGACTAGTCATGCGAAACAACCGGACCAGCGCGACGCACATGCACGGAAGGTGAGGGCACTTAGAAGGGGGATCACTTTGAATTTCCAGACCCACACAAGGCCTGGCTCATTTTCATGATGATCATGGTGCATTTATTTATGATATTTATGTGTCCTTCTTTGACATACTAATACTTGTGGGCCTTGGATCCTCCTTCAAGGCCAGATTTGTGTGTCAATGTCTTTCCTTGCTAGGCAGGAAGCTCTGAGCCCCGGAAGACCCCCCCCCCACTGCGTTCGCGACCCATCGGTGAAGCTTGGGTTCCAACGTCCAAGTCGACGGCCTTTCGTACGCGTGGCGCGGCCTTTCCAACTGGACGGTGGCTGGGTGGTCTCTGGCCTCCATCGGAGGGTCCCTGGTCTTGTGAGCCATACTTGAGAAATACCCGCTGGGTTGGACCCCAGAGGCTCTTGGGCCGGGTATCCTTCCTGGTTTGTCTCGGTTGATTGGGTTGTTGCGTCTCATCTTCTTCACCATGACGGAAGGATTTACCATGACTGGACCCGCTTCACGGGAGGAGTGAGTGGTGTATCTCGAAGTTCAGCGAGGTGGTCTTCCTGCGCCCGTGCAAGACGCGTGGGTGCAGGTGGGTTTGCGGAATGGTTCAGGTGTTGGTGTTCTGGGTTCCAAGCAGTACTATTCACCCTCCACCAGCTGTTTCCTTGTGACACAAGATGCCCAGAAACCACTGGGTTAAACATGGTGCAAAAGCCTGAATTTGTTGGGGGCTTTTGGCAGTGTTTTGGAGACCTCCCGAGACCTGTTTTCAGGTTCGAAGCAATCCCCCGTGGATTCGGAAAGAAGGCATTCTTCGACTGGATCGCATTCTTCGCGGCGATGGTTCCATTGGAGGTTCCCCGGATGGACCCAAGCGACGGACGAACTCAAAAGACCGACGACTGTTTCGTGACCCTTCCGAGTTCGCTTGGTCCAAGGCTCGACCAACCCCAAAAGCATTCAGCTATTATATATATCCTGCAACCTGAAACGACCACTTTTTTTTTTGGTTGTTTCTTCAAACGACCGTATATTTTTAAAACGAGCATAAAAAATGGTCTTTCTTAAACGACCGTATTTTTGTCAATTATGATGATGTTCAAATATTACATCATGCACAATGCATATCAAGCAGTTGATTTGTGAAATCGTATACGATCGTATACGACCGTATATTTCTGGAAACGACCGTATATTTTTCGAACCACGACCGTATTTTGTTGAAACGACCGTATATTCTTCGAACCACGACCGTATACAGGCCGTATGCAAACCGTATGCAAACCGTATAAAACCGTATAAAAACGCATAAAAACATATACGACAATTTTTTTCATGTGTAAAATGATTGCAAGATAAAACGACCGTATTTTTTTGAACCGACCAAAAAAAATGGTTGTTTTCAAAACGACCAAAAAAAAAAGTGGTCGTTTCGGGTTGCAGGATATAATTTACCTCAAGCCACGGGATCAAAGGTCACTGTGGGAAGATCCAGGATATCCAAGTCAACGATTCCTGTACTTCGCGACGGGAACGAGTGATACGAGGGCGTTGCGAAGACAAAGAGGACGTCATCGAGCGATGCGAACGGGCACTGGTTCCTGCTGGCTCAGACACTCCATGTATATAATATGACAACATTGACACATGAAATCACCCAATGTGGGTAAACGTGGAGTGTTTGGGATAGGAACTAACATCCACTGGGTCAAGTCTTGGAAACAAAAGTTAGTTTGCAAGCTATCCGACCGGCCCCTTGGGGCGATTTGGATCGTTGGGAGATGTTGGGATGCTTCACCAACTGGAAAACATATCAGAGGAATGTGGAAGGCATTTTCAGCTGGACCCGCCTGAAAAAGCCCGAATGGCTTTGATATGTCTTGGATCAAGATTCGTTACCTCACCGTTTCGTGAATCTGATCTGCCGGGCGGAAACCCCTTCGCGCGGCATGGTGCAGCAGAAATTGACCGTGTTTGCGCACCTGGTGGCAGATTTTACAGGCCCGCTCACCAAAGACATGACTGCAGAGAGCTTTTCCGACCGTTTGGTGCCCTTCACCTTGACTACTTGGCTTTTCCTGCTCTTCTTGTGTTTGATCTTCTTCGCACACGAGACATATGCTGCAAGGGTTAAACCTTTGTTGGCGAACGAAGAGAAGTCTAGCACTGTGCTTTTTCAGTCGTCCTTGCTCTTCTATTGGTTTTACGGCTACGTCAATGAAGCGATGCTGATGCCCGTGACCTTGGACTTCGCGGCCAGCATGGGTCAAAGCGCCACGATGTCCGGCTTCTTCATTAGCTGCTCGCTGGTGGCCTCGATTCTGGGAGTGGTCATGGGCACCTGGATGGCATGCACTCGCACGCGATTTGCTGCGCTCGCACGCGTGGCTAAAGGAAGAACTCCCAAATCACATAGCCCAGACATGCCCAGACCATCTTATGGGACTGGAATATATGGAATGCCTATTACCTTGATCTTTTTTTCAACCACCCCAATTGTAGGTACAGAAAAAAGGCCAGTCCCATGGATGGTCTGACTGTTGACTGGTCCGAGGGGTCATCGATCCGGTTTGTATTGCGGTGAACTTTGAATCATCAGAAAGCTTAGATCCAAGATGTTCGAAGAGTTATGCATAAGAGATTTTCGAAGATCATAAGAAAGCTTAAATCCAAGAGAGTTATGAATCAGTCTATAGAGTTTTTGAAGATGTTGACTACAGTCATGCACAGGACATTGGAATTGTTCAACTTACGGCAAGATCATGAAGGGTAGTTCACGGATGAACTACCCGTAAGTAAGTGTTGGTGGCTAGAGGTCGTGCTGGACAAAGATACAGATTGGTGATGATTGGTGGTGTTTCATCACCGTACTTTGGATGGATGTTGTCCATTCTGAACGTTTGTATCCAGAGTCTCAAGCCGGTTTGGAGGACCGTGGCCTCATCTGAGGTAAGAGGGTGGTGAGTGAGGCTTCGTGGGATCAGCGCGTGGCACGTTCTTTGATTTTGTGGTGCGGCCTCATCTCGATCCTCTTCGTGCTCATGGAAGCGGCCATCTCTAACTCTGCGGTTCATTTGAGCATACACGCGAAGCGGGTTCCTCGAACTGTGGAGTCCTTTCTATAGAGCACGTGCTCTATAACTGGGGTTATAGGGTGGGTGACAACAGTTGGTGTTCTGCCACAAGTTCAGGTTCTCTATGAACTCCTAAAGTCATCCAATCCTCCAATCTTGAGCCAAACATAGCTAAACGAGGAATTTTCATGAATGTTCCATTGCTTTTCTTAAGAATAAGTATGAGCTGGACCTACTTAACCATTGAGGTGAGTCAAATGCGATGTTGCATGTAGAGAAACTTCGGGGTGAGTTGCCGTTTTGGAGGGCTTAATTAATCATTGTGGTTTGGGCAAGTGCTTTTTATTCCGATTCAATTTTTACACGAGGTCTTTGTTCAAGAAAGGTCGCCGAAGCGGGTGAAGCATGTTTTTGTATCTAAAATGGTCATAGAATCAGGGGACACCATACCAAGATGCGTTCTACCAAGTTACTGCATCCTTTGGGAGAGTCACTAGGTTTGTTTGAAGAAGCACTTAGTTCGGAATGACAAGCACTCTTGGAGCCTCTAAGGTTGTGTTTTGGGTAATGATTCTGATCACCCAAGTGCATGCCTTTGTGGGAGCATTGCCCTATATTCCGTTCATGGTGATGTGGGGCAAGTTCACACCCAAGAGTGAGATGCTCGGAGGCGTCGACATGTTGATCTCGATCTTGTTGTCTCAGCAAACCTGTAACAGTGCATCATATTATCACATTTGTTTGCGACCGACCAGCAACCAAAGCATCATCATCCACTCTCAAGGGAAGTAGATATACCCTAGAAGTCCAAAGACTATATTTTGACCGACTGAAGTAAAGGAGATGCCTTTTCGGGTCACCTAAAGACCATTCTTTTTATAGTCTTAGACTCCCAGGGTATATATAGAGTATTGGTAAGCTTGATCTTGTTGTGTGATAGGTTAAAACTACGGGTAGATCGTAAAGGCACAACAAAGGTGATTGAGGAAGAGAGGGGCGCGAAGACCTTTTTCCGGTATCGCCGTGAAGGGGGTTAGTTAATGGGATGTGAAGAAATGGAGCTCAAAGTGCCTTCACCAGCACCTTCATGTTGGGGTCACCTGGCTGGTTTCGCCCCAGCCCACCATGACTAAGGGACCTCCAGACAGGACACCCCGAAAGAAGGTCCAGGTATATAATCATCTATAATTAGGTTGATTTCAATGATTTCGGATATGTTGTTTTAAATTATCACCATATAATCAACCATGCCTTGGGATTATTTTTCACCGTATACTGAATATGAGTTGAAACCACCAACCAGTCATTGGTAGATTCGTTCATCGAATGTTCAGCCTTGGGCTCGGCGTGATCGTTTGGATCGCCTGAGGCGTTTGAAGCACCATGTTAATGTGGTGCGTTCCTCTTACCACACAGCTTCTCATAAGTGTTTGACCCATGATTCTTGCCAAGTTTGCCAGCCAGCAGAACCTCCGCTGAGAACAGATTGAAGCTGCTTGAGAGAGTGTGGGACAACAGATGTCTCCATGGTCAATCCTCAGGATGTCCTTCTGGATGGTTCTGACCCAATGCGCGCGACAAGGAGGCCTTTTGATCGGCCCAGCTGTCTTCACACTGGTGAGCGTGATTGTGAAGCGTGGTGGTTCGCCCCTGGCTCCACCCTCGCTGATGGCTTGGGTTCTTCTTGCACAAGCTGTCTTTGGACTCACGGCCAGACTGACAGCGGGGAAACAGACACGTTGTACATCGTAGTAGCCTCCCTCAGATCATCATAAACACTAAACAGACCAGGGGCCCGTAGAGGAATTCATGGCTCTTTTGGGCGCCCTGACGTTTTTTTCCAACAATGGGACGACACACCTTGATGGAAAATGGGCCAGGAATCTGAAGTCATGACAAAGCAGGTACGTGATCCCGACGTCCCAGAATCATATCAGCCATGGAATGCAGCCCTCTTCGTTGGACAAACAGCTGCATCCATGGAGTTGTCCGCTGTGAAATTTTGAGGTCAAAAGACGACAATACCCAATCTACGGATTCCCTGTGATTCCAAGGGCTTCACACTTCGAACTTGGGTTTTCAGTTAGACTCAATTGCCACGTTGAGAAGTAAGGTGAGGGAACGGAAAGGTGCGTGGGTCCGATCACTTGAATAGTTTAACATTGTTGTCACAAAGCGGCAGCAATCAGACCGGCGGCGCAGCTGCTGGGAACGAGTAGGTTTGCTGGAAGTATCATGAACTACCATGCAAACAAACCGAGAGTGGAACAGCTTGATCAAAAGTTTGGTGCAGGTACGTCGGCAAGCGTCCTTGCCGATATCCTCAGGACACTGCAGAGAGCTTTGTTAAGTGGAGCTCTGCAGGCCTGCTCCACTCCCCTGCTGGAAAACCGTTAGAAAGGTGAGAACGTGGAAAGCCCTTAGAACCAGGGTGTGACACACACACACACAACAAGCCGTGATCGGCGCACAGACCAAGCGGTGGAGACACGGATTTTTTCTCTCTGGAGCCTGAGTGCGTGTGCTGTGAGAAAAAAAGAAGTGAGTCGTGGCATGCAATGCAATCCCTGAGATCTGTGGTGTGGAACGTGTGAAAGCTGATCGTTGGCTAAACAGCTGCGGGTGAAACAAAAAAAGTTCAAAGATGCAACACTGCGCAGTACGGATGGAAGTCAGAATCATTGGTGGGAAATCCGTCGCTTATAGCCCGGCGGCTCGAAAATCAGTTAATTCAGGGATAAAGTTGAAGAAACGGAAAGGCAGTTATAAAGTAGGAAGGTCGGTGAATTCCCAGTGTGATTTCAGCGCCTCCTTTCGGAGGGTCACACCCAGTACCCATGTGGGAAGACTGAGCGGTCCACACTTCGAACTTGGGTTTTCAGTTAGACTCAATTGCCACGTTGAGAAGTAAGGTGAGGGAACGGAAAGGTGCGTGGGTCCGATCACTTGAATAGTTTAACATTGTTGTCACAAAGCGGCAGCAATCAGACCAGCGGCGCAGCTGCTGGGGACGAGTAGGTTTGCTGGAAGTATCATGAACTACCATGCAAACAAACCGAGAGTGGAACAGCTTGATCAAAAGTTTGGTGCAGGTACGTCGGCAAGCGTCCTTGCCGATATCCTCAGGACACTGCAGAGAGCTTTGTTAAGTGGAGCTCTGCAGGCCTGCTCCACTCCCCTGCTGGAAAACCGTTAGAAAGGTGAGAACGTGGAAAACCCTTAGAACCAGGGTGTGACACACACACACACACACACACGCCTCCCCTTGTGGGAGGCGATGAAAATTGAGGGTTAGACTAAAGTGTATGTGCGCGCGAAAAAAGACAAACGAATGAGAACATGACAGGAAGGCGAGACAGACAAGGTGTATGTGGCCGCGATGAAAAGGAACCAAGTGACCAGGAACAACCAGATGAGCCAAACCTCCTTATAACGACCTGGGCGACTTCAGACCTGGGTTTCGTGTACGGGTGCACGTGCGCACTAAGGAGCGGACGGGTGTGTGCGCAAAAGAAAGAAAGGAATGAGATGACGTAACATGAAGGCAGAGAGGACATGAAACGAAAAAGGAAAGAACGTGTGTGTGAGTGGGGAAGGATGAAAGGGGGAAACAATTATGGGGCCGGAAACCGACGAAACGAGACCTCATTAGAGAGAACCTAGGAACACCTAGCCGCGTTTGAAATGCATAGCGGACACGTTCTGGCGTGCTCGAAAGCTGCCTTCTCAGATTCAATAATTCGGCAAGTCTTGGCAAATAGCTTTGGCTTAAACCTCCTGCTGTCCGCTACGGACACCTACGTTCCCAAGCCGGGGAACATGGACAAGCCCCCGTTCGAAGGGGCCACAGGGGCCACTCCTCGGGTACACCCTGGGCTCTCACTATGAGAGACACACTCAGGAAATGCGTGCTGAATTGAATGCCGCTTGCCACACGGCAACCTAAGTGGCCACATTCCTATGAGTATACAGTACAGTGAAACCTGAAAGGTGTGAACCTGAAAGGTGTGAAAGGAAAGGAACCCAACCAAATTAAATTCATCGTCTCGAAAAACATCAGCTTGAAAAGTCGACAAGCGAGCGATCGACGAGTGCGTGATTGCTTGTTGTAGTTAGTTGAAGCGGGGCCCAGTAGGAAATGTGAAGTCATCTGCCATGGAATGCAGCCCTCTATGTTGGACAAACAGCTGCATCCATGGCGTTGTCCCCTGTGAAATTTTAAGGTCAAAAGACGACAATACCCAATCTACGGATTCCCTGTGATTCCAAGGGCTTCACACACACACACACCCCTTGCGGGTGGTTCCCACAAGTCTTGGGTAACTGCGGATGCGAACCTCCACCACATGCACAATGCACAGGACTGGTCTCCATCTTGCTGAATGCCATGATCATCCCGGAGCAGCTACCTCCGCTGCCGGGTGATGAGGATAGCCGACCAGCTGAAGAGGAGCCGGATGCAGCCGTCGACCCAGATGGGGCGGAGCGTTCCGTGGAAGCTTTGGAGTTGCCGCAGCGGAAGGAGGTCCGAAGGGGCTTGGCCTGGCTGGCCGAGGGTGCTGGGTTGGGTGCTTTGATGCATGATGTGATGGGCGGTGTATGGTTGGGGGATGGGCACCTCTGAAAACGGTGTAGTTTTTGTTTTTGTTTGGAGCATTGAGGTGAATTGGGGGTTGAAGAGTCCTGAGCAATTTGAACATGTGAGTCACGGTACAAATAAACACAGATCACTTTAGTGGGGAGGGCGCAGTTGTGCTGAGAAAGTGCTCCAAACTATGTAATGTGCTAGGCCCTCCAGAAAAAACATACGATAGCCTGCAACCACATGCGACAACCCATTAAATTGTGCGTAGGCTAATTCACTCAACGGGCAAACCCGATAGGGAAATGCAACCTGCAAACTGCCGGTGTTTCCTGCAGTTGACGTATCATTTGTCGCCTTGAGTGGATACTGAGCGGTTCGCCGAAGCGATCACCTATCGGCGAAAACCTACACGAAAACCCCCGCATCCATTTAACTCCCTGTTTGGAGTGGGGAATGGATTCCGGAG